ATACCCAGTGGTGTGATTCAGGAAATAACCATCACTGCATTATCATCCATCATAACACACCCCATATCAACCAAATAACCAGCGCCATTAAACATTTACATCATCCAAGGGAGTTCCAGAGAGTGGAGCAGACAGAGCTACCAAGACAACCACCTCGAACATGATAGGCCTCATGTCCATTCACCAGCCAACAGATCGAAGTACATAAAGAGTATGTGCCAGCAAACAAACCCCACCAGGAGACCCCTGGGAGGGAAAGGGAAGGGAAGGGAAGAGGCCTGGGCCAAGTCCCTTTCAAATGAAGGAGATAAATCTATTGATTTAAGATCAGCCTGCTGCATTACTGTGGCCACCCCGAGGGACAGGGAAGTGGAGGAGGGTGTAAAGGTTGAAGGTGGTTTGTAGACATGACCAGGACATGAGATGGTCTGAATTTTTGTCCTGACTGAACATCTTATAAACTGAGGGTGGATTAGCTGCTATGTCTTCTACTTCCTTTATCTTTTAAAATTACTTGCAGTTTTAAATGTTTGTTTTTTTGGGAAATTCTTCAAAAATTCAACATAGTGCAACGAAATTTTCTATTGCCTTTAAATACTCCCGAGAGGATGAATCCCAAAAACGTCAAAGATCTTCATTGATGTTGCTTGGTCAAATATCCAAATATCTGGATTTGAGAGATCAAAGTATTCCCATTTCCTTTCATTTTGGTTGTATTACCTTTAAGGGTAATTAAGTTCATGTATGTGCAAATATCTGCAAAGTTTACATTGGTTTTTTTTTTTGTGCCCAATCTGAACCTGATGCTCAACAGTATAACAAAACAACTGTTAAATATACTATCTGAATGTCAAACTTTCCTGTTAAACCTTCAAAGTAGGGAATATCTAATGTATGGTAAATGTGAATTAAAAACTGGACAGGGTGAGCAGGATTATGATGGGGGATGAGGATGAGGAGCTCCTCAGACTGTTCTGACATCCAGGCCTGGTACCTGTTCTTATTTATCGACTCTTAAAGACTGGCCTGAGATGAAAACGTGCTGGACTCCTTTACGTAGATTAATTTAAAAGAACAGGTTGTTTATATCGGAAAATGTTGAACTTTCACACTAACAAAAATATTATTATGAATTCAGCAGGAGCAATTACCACAGGGTAACTTAATCCTGCACAGAAAAAGTTATCGATTCTTCTTGCCCCATGGAGCCCACAGGCTCTGGTCCAGTCAATGCCAGTGAGTAGTTGAGCTACATTTTGTTGTAACAGGATACAAGGAAATCCTCACACTCATTAACCCTTTTAGATTAGCAACATTGAACAGCAGGCAAAATATTTCTATTTTTTCATCAATATTTCATCACCAGCTTGGCCCAAACAAAGCCAGGGGCTTTGACCGTAATGGTCCCATCTGTCTATGGATCTTAAAGACAGCAGCGTATGGGTGTCCTTTGACACCAGAAAATAGGCTTGGACGTGAAGGAAAAACACTGCACTCAATCACAGGATCCATGGATGTTAGCTAGCCTGGAAGGCAAAGTGTGTCCTGCCTTTTTTAACGGCTCCTCACAGATGGTCTCTTCATGTTGTGGCTGAAGATCGAGTTTCAAGACTTTGCATGAATTGGAGATTTCAGCTTGTGGGACCAATCTGGTCTACTTAGAAACCTTTATATCCTACAAGTGATCTGAGCAACAGTATTTAGTGATAGATGAATACAGCATTGTAACCGCACATCTGTATGTACTGTTGTTAATCTCTATCCATCTCTCTCTTTCTGCATCTCCCCCTATCCTCTCTCTAAAAACAGCTCAGCCTCAGCAGATGACTGTCTTAAATGAGTCTGGTTCTGCTCGAGGTTTCTGCCTGTTAAAGGAAGTTCTTCCTCTCCACTGTAACTTGCTAAATCCTGCAAAGTCTTTCACTTATGTGGTTGAAGATTGGATGGGAGGGGGTTTGATCTGACAAGATGGGGCTCAATCAATGGGTCTTTCTGTAAATTTCATTCATAGTAATGTCTGAACCAGCTTTTTTTGGTGATAGCATTTCTTGTGAATTGGCTCCATATAAATAAAGATTGATAAAGATTAACAATACAACTAACTGTGAGGGATTTCCACTCTGTCAGAGCTGGTACAAAAATATCTGTACATAGGTTTGTTCAACTTTCAACCTCCGCTTTTGTCAAATACATCCCCTTGAAGAGAAAATCTGACCCTGTGATCATTATCTGACTCCTTCTAATGCGCCTCATGAATATAAAAGTCCAAATATAAATAATTTATCCATCTTAATCCAACAGCATTGGCATGATATCCTAGCCTACAACTCCCCCATCAGTAAGGGAGTGACCTCATCATTTTGTCGGCCCATTAGCTTTCCACACAGACCTCATGGGACCAGTCCATTAACCCCTTAGCTGCTAAGTAAAGTAGCATCAAGTGAGGATGACTGAGAGTTTATACAGATCAAATAAAAAGAGAGTAAAATTTTGAACATGCCAAACTTCCATAAATAACTAAACATTGAATTAAATGTGTCAACAGGTGACAAACACAGGGAAAAATTTCACAATGGAGCCTAGATATGAGCTTTACCACTCTTGGGTTACATGAACTTTAGTAAAGCAAAGCCACTTTGGCCTCTTGGTCGTAATTACCCCCCCAATGGTTATTGTTCCGGTCCTATTGTGTTTTCAGAGGAGAGGTCAGTGGATATAGGCGCCCTTTCCTCACACAGGTAGATGGAGAGAGCAGATTATATGACCAAAGAATACCATCATGATACCTTGATGGGTAAATTACTTATTTTATGTGTGTGTGCATGTTAGTTTTATTGTTGTTTAGTCCATATGAAGAGAACAGCAGGAGGAGTTTATCGTTGGTTTGCTGTAAATAAGCATATCAACATATGATTGATCCTCTGGAGATATTGAATAGCTGTACTGAACTTGATTGCAGGTAAAAACCTAAATGGTAAACCAACTGGCTTTCCCATTGACTTAAAAGGACTAGTAACACTTTCCAATCAGGTATTTAGTGGCTATCACTAATGGTGCTATTATCATGTGATATTAAATCATCATACAAGCTCAAGAGAATTTCACATCCAGGCAAAATTGGATCCAAGCAACATTTCGCAACAAAACACTTGAAGCAATTTGAAAACCATTTCAAAAGATTAGTTTGAAAGTGGTTTTTGGATCATCTGTATCCACAGTGTCGTTGCCCCCCTCCCCTGCCCTCATGTTGCCAGCGGCCCTCTGCACTTCATACTAAGAGGTCATGGACCCTGATCTCAGACAAAAGCCTCCTTTGTATGTGTGCTGTCAGGAGAGTGACGGGGACTTGAAGGTTAGTCGACCTGGACTCCCGAGGAGACACAGTCATACAGCAGCGTCCAATAGGCTTCGGTTCTGTGACGCCGCCGACTTTCATGTTGTGCTTTTGTTACATGGCTCTCCCCTGACAAGTGGACACAGATTGGGTAATGAGGGGTAATTGGTCCAGGGTCAAGGATGATTAATTCCCTTGGTCAGGTGTCAGCCAGTTTTCATACCTGGCTGGCTGAGGAGACAGGTAGGAGGGAGGGGAGAGAGCAGGGAATATGAGACGAGTGGGTAAGGAGATGTGTGTCTGTGTTGAGAGAAGGTATTGTAGATTGTAGAATGTTCAAATGTCACACTAAGACATAAGCAGACCTCACATATTGTTTGCCTTTTCTTATTCACAAGCAAAAACATCTTGTATGAGAGAGGTATGGAGTCAGTAAGAATTTCCCAGGATCAGATCTTTCCCAAAAAAAGTTGAAAGGTCACCTCAATCCTCCCCCTCCAACCACAGAAACCAGATTGAGATTGATATCTGTCCCCTTCCCTCCTACCTCCCCTTCAGCTTGACTGACTAATCTGAATACCTCTCCATCCATCCCTTTATTCTAACCAGGCAATTTTGGACACTGATTATCTTGCAACCTGCGTGTGTGTGCGTGACAGTAAATGCAGGGGCTGGTTTGTAATTGACCAGGCAAAGACTGAGACGCCTGCCGTGTAATTGAGCAGGGGCTGCGGGGCTCTTTAAGGGCTGAAAGGGTCCGAGAATCCCTCATTGCCCATTAGACCTGGCAGGGGGTCTCCTGTGCCTGTGGACTCCACCTTGAGGCCCGCGTTGCACCCAGCTCCACAATGCAGAGGTGGGAGTGGTAAGAAGAGAAGCAGCTGCTGCTCAGAGGACAGGAGGAAATAAGACAATATGAAGCATCTCCTGGTTACAGAGGTTTGAATTTCTGTAAGATTCATGTTTAACCTGTAAAACATCTGTGTCCTCACTGCACTGTATATAATATCATGTGAATCACAACATGTGGAGTCATAGGTCATGTAGCAAAGTGGACTGGATGCAGAAGCATGTCTTCTTTTAAACACATCTAAATGTTCACGGTTTTGTTATAAACACTGAAAGAGCAGGGTACATCCTTCAAGATTAGACTTCATGATACGGGGTGATGTTTTAAATTCATGGACAATATGAGAGTGTGAAAGAACAGGTCAAAATGCTCATCCACACCAGGTTTAAACATCTGAAGAACAGAAGGTAAGATGATTCACTCTCCTCTATTCTCTGAGCCTGGAGACTCCATGCTGAGTTGGGAAATATACGTATGACGCCAGTTGGTGTTCCTTCTGTGTGACTTGTGCTGTTTGAGCCCAGAAATGGCCTCATCATTTCTGCACTTTGTTGATTTCAGCTTGTTTCACACTCATACTCTGGTGCCGATTCATCTACATATTATTATAAATGTGATTTGTCCTCGCAGCTCCAAAGTCTTCACAGGGCAGTTAAACAGGCAGGCATTAATAAATAGGCTGCCTGCCAAAGATGTGTTTTTAATCACTGACACAGGAGGTTACGAGGAAAGACCGGTTTGCTTGTAAATACCCGTAATTAATTTTTTTCGATTAAAAAAAGAAAAGGAGCAAAGGAACAAAAACACATCCCAGTCTTATTTCTGAAACAAACTTATTTTTAATGTTTGTGATCAGCTTTCTGATGCTAGAAATGACACAAAATGTAGAAGTTAAAACACATATTTTGGATGTGCTTCTCTGTAAGATATTAATCAAACACATTTACACCTGATTTGAACGATGTACATGTTAGTAACATTTAGATTTTTCCTCCTCTACTTTTCAGCATCGATGAAACGTCAGTCACACAAGAAGAGCCCAATGTGGCTGGTAGTGTGTTCACCATTGTGCTTTTATAAATAAGAGAAGACCATAAGGCAAAAGGTAGACAACGGAGGCACAAAGTCTAAAACTACAAACGTCTAGGGAAGATGTTTCACACACACAGCTGACACTGTTATTAATTAGAGTTGGAAAAACCCTGCAAACGGTTGTGTTCCCTTAACCTGTGGAGGAAACATAAGGAAAGCAATGAGATTTAAAATCACAGGTACGAGAATGGTTCACTTTTAGGAAAATCAAAGTTTGAAGGGTGCTTACCTGACAGCGTTAATCCTGATGAATCCAGAGGCATCACAGGGGTCATAGTCTCCCTGCACATCCATGCTAAAGTGAAAAGAAATACAAAAAAACCCACATATGACACCCAATATATCTTTGATTTACACTAAATTTAAAAATTCTTGGTGAAAACATGTTTAACTTCTAAACTCCTAATGATGTAAAGGTTCTGTATCTTGGTTTGATGAGAGGAGATTGCATTTGTATCTGTATATAATGTGAAAATAAGGAACTAAAAAGCGAGGGAGCGGCAGTTATGTGAGATTGATCCTCAAATTTTCAGGTGTTTGAGGAAAACGGCTGAGAGAATAAAGAAAGAACCTAAGGAAAAGATGATGGTCTAGTTACAAACAATGATTGGTATATTCTGTATTGTTGCGGCAACATAAGAGACGTGGAACCTCGTCAACTACTGAGATAACTGGCTCATTGACAATGTGCTTTTTTGAGATATTGTTCCCATCGATTTCCCTCTGAAGGCTCCACTTTAGCATCGTTTGTCCTGAATAACACAGAATCAATATCGCAGACAGAAAACAAACAAGTGCACAAAAGATGATCAAAACCCATTTTAAAACAATCCCATCATATCAGCTCTGAGCTAAGTGATGAGATGATTTTGTAATCTGACGTTTCTGTCTCCCAGTTTCATTCTCTAAAGAGAAAAAGAAGTCGGCGTTAACTTATGCCACTCCTTTCTGCTGTTTAGGCTGCATGTTAGAGAGTCTTCTGTTCTAAGTGTGTCTCTGTGTGCTGTGTAATTACAGCAGTTTCTACCTGCAGTGCTTAATACACTCCCTCACAGAGTCCTCTCCTCTGAATGACACCCCCAACTCCCAACATACAGCTTGCACTCATTCTTCAGAAGCACTTAGCAAAAGAGGAAATTGCCAACAAATGATAGGATAAACACTATAAAAAAGAAGAGCGACAACTAAATCATCAACTCTCAATACAAGGCTCCCTACCCGGCACCTGAACACCATTAAGAGCGAGAGGCTTCAAAGAGTACGTCTGCATGTGTGTGTGTGTGTTAGCATGTGATATTTTGTGTATTCCTTCGAGAAACCCTGCAGTCTAATTGAGACAGAGCCGGTGGACGGCGAGCAGGGTGACATTTCTGTCTCAGATGGGTGCGCTGACGGGCTGTAATACCACTGTGTTAATGACGCCGTTTACTGTGGCCCGTGGAGAGCCAACAGGATGTCAGCGGGGGTTTCATGCCTAATCTGCTCTGTGTGTATGTGCGCGATCGTGACGGGTCATCATGTAATTGCGAAGATGTGTGTGCGAGTGAGCGAGGGAGACTGATGCGTCAGTGTGAATACCTGTGACAGACAGTACGTGTATGCATCTGAACAACGGCGCTGTTAAAGGTAGGACAATCTGAGAAAGACAGATTATCAAGAGTACAAACGTATCATATTAAAGCTCCTGTGAGGAACTTCTGGTTTGTCTCAACTTTGGCGCCCCCTGTGGACAAAACAGTCTTTGCTAATCTTGTCCTCAAGATTGCTTAGTACTAAGTTTTAACAAAAAAGTCAGCAGGATGAATTTTGACAGTCTTATGCTGCATTTGAGTTACTTCTGAAGTCAGATGTCGGAGCTAAAAATGACGTCACACCCGAGCTATCAGCGTTTTAGTTACCAAGTCGGAAAAAAGCAAAATCGGAGGTGGAAACAAGATGGCTACATCTACGAAAGTTATTTTAGCGCTTGCCTTGTCCTTGCTTATATTCGGACAAGGCAAGCGCTACAATAACTTTTGTAGATGTAGCCATCTTGTTTCTGCCTCTGATTTTGCTTTTTTTCCAACTTGGTAACTGAAACACTGGTAGCTTAGGTGTGACGTCATTTTCAGCTCCGACATCTGACTTCTGAGGTAACTCGAATGCTTTATAAGTATCAGCTGGAAATTATAAAAACAGGTCAGTTTATTCTGCTGCTCGACTAACATCTACTTCCCTTGTACCAGTTTCATGCAAAAAAGCAGGATGAAAAAATTGCCAGTCTTGTAGCTGATGATCTCGTTTCCTTTGGGATATCATGAAAAAGCATCACAATAAATTCTATTTCATAAACATAAAAATCTCCTTATAGCAGCTTTAAACTGTTTATAACTACCTATTTTAGACGTTGCCTAAAGCTGCGACACTGCTTTTTTAAGTTGTTGTTACTTTATCTCTTTACCTGCCCTTAGATTTACCCTTAGTCATGTTATATCTGTCCAGTCAGGCTCTGTTGGAGGTTTAAACTGAAACCATTTTAATGTTACCACTATTTGCTGGCTGCTAATAAAACCCTTTACAAGATTCTATCTAGCACTGAAAGGTGAGCCGCACCATTGCTGAGATAAATTGTTGGTGTTGAACATTTTGTCACAACACCAAAACTGTTGAATTTTTTTCTCCTTTTCCCTCATCATTTATATTTCCTCATATTATATCCAAAGAATCTTTTGTATTAAGTAATAAGCAATTTCAATGAATTAAACACAGATTAAACTTGTTTTCACCTCCTTTATGAAAGAGTACATGTTAAAAATGATTTATTTTTCAGATTCGGCTGCTCTTAAATGCGGTTCTCTGGGAACAACTGTGCCCATCTGTTCGTGGCCTCAAGGTTTTTTGTGAAGCTGCAACACAACACCTCTGTCGCACACGTGTCGAAGAAATGTGTCTGGACAAGATCAGGTGTTGATCTCAGAGCGTGAGCTTTCTTCTGAAGAGTTTCTTAGCAACTGGCTGGTTGAGGAGTAACTGGGTCATGATTTATCGTCATCGTGACTCAGCACTTATTTCTGCCTTTTTTTATTACTGGAAAACAACACTGGGACAACAGAAAACACAAGTGCAGCTGGTGTCCTGTACAATCTCTATGATCTCTTTCACCGATTAGAAAAAAAATTATCACCATTGGGATTTTATTCTTTTTTTTCTGCTCCTGAAAGCTCTCTGTGTGAGAAACCTTCCCACTTCTCCTCCTTGTTGACCTGCTAAACTAGCGTGACACCCACGTACTCTCCTCTTAAAAGCTCAGCGAGATCACCTCTCTCCTCTGGCTGAAAACACCATTAGCTCACTGACTTTAGGGTACAACTGGAGTGTGTGTGACTGAAGTGGAGATGGAGAGGCATATGGAGGGGTTTTACTTTGGTCAGTGCTGAGCCTGCCCACGGGGCATCAGGGGTCAGCCTCCTGAACAAACCCACTGTTAGCAGGGCTAAGAGGGCCACAGGGGGGTGCAGTGGGAAGGGGGGTTGGGGTCAGGCTTTGCCCTCCAGGAACTGGGTTTGAAACTTCTCTGATGTCTTTGTGAGGCAGGGTTCGTTCAGTTTTTCGATCATGAGAGGACTCGGGTGAGCAGATCTGACTGACGACAGGCTGGCTGGTGAACACTTGTGGAATAACTCCACAGTGGGCAGAGCAGATGAATGCAGCTGTCCGGTCAGAACAAGCACACACTGTGATTCACCAACACATGGCTACTTCTGTTGCAGACACTCACACGCTTTTAACCCCTTCCTCTCCTGCTTACCTGACCAGCTCTTCGTTATAGAGTGATTTTGGAGACTCTCGTCCCAGGATGTAGATGTGACCCTTGAAGACAGACAGCTGAACCTTTCCCTCCACGTTCTCTTGGGACTTGGCTATGCAGTGTCGCACAAACTCACACTCTGGACTGTACCAGAAACCTGAAGTGAACAGAGACACATGAAGATGAATAAAACATATATCATTATTAGTATATTATGACATATCTAAGTATTCAAAGGCATCAAAATGTAAAAGAAGTAGACAGAGAGAGTCCTTGAACCTGCCTGACTTGGTCGGTTAGCAGATTAAATTTGAATGAAACTATATTTTTATTTGTCCCAACTCTTTTTAACTGTGACTTGATGTCAGGGTGAAGCATGACAGTCATCAGCACATTGTTAATTTTAAAGTTGGACTTCTTTTTCAACTCTCTGGGGTCAGAAATAAACCATAGCATCTAATCTTCAATGCAGACTAGACACCCTGCACCTCAACATGTTGTTCGGCATTTGTTGCCAGGTGTAAAAACACAGCACTCCAACGGCAGCACAAACACACTAACCAATAATGTCAGACACACAAATATACTACATCAAGATTTAGATTTCTGTGAATACACTTGTCATGGTTCATGACAAAACAGCACACAGAACAGCAGGTGAGAAAGGAGGCCCTTCCTCTTATTGGCAACAGGGTCAACAGAGGTGTGATGATGGCTGCAGTTTCCTCTTTCATGAGCTCAAACGTGAGCTTTGCTTTGGTCTCATTTCTGTTCCAGGTGAAGTTCACACACCCTTTTTTTCTTTTGTCTCATTTTGCTGACCTGGGCCCGTCACGCTCTGAGACAGATGGGCGAGGGATGTGTCTGTGTACGTGCAGAGGTCAGGAACGCCCCGCTCGGCAGGGGTCCTCCTCTCATCAGCAGCTGACCTCCACCTCGTCGTCTGGTCGTGTTCAAAGACACAATCACTCGCCACTTTTGCTGGCTTTGAATCGGCACAATGTGTCAGAATTGACGAGTGCATGTGGGTATGAGATTCTGGGATAGATTTGATTCACTCAGTCATTTGTCCCTAAAGTGTCTCTCTTTTAGGGAGATTTTTACTGTAAAAATTGTTTCAAACTTCAATTTTTCAATGCAATAAAATGGTTATTAAATCCCTAAACTCATCTCACATGAATCATTTGGGGTTTAATGGAGGCGTATAAATGTAAAACAGATGCAAGACAGGTGGATTGTTAACATAAGCCCTGCTGCCAGCTGTCTGCCATCTATATACAGAGTTATTAATGATTTAAACCCCACAATGGGTTTAATCTCTGCCCTGCCTCTGAAGGTAGCACCTCTGTGTGTGTTTGTGTGTGAGTGTGTGTGTGTGTGTGTTTGAGTGCTAGGCCACTTCAATTATACTCTCAAGAGAAGAAGGAGTCTCTAATGGCACTGATCCTATTATGTGGATGAAGGTGCAGGGGACTAGGGACTGAGCAGAAGGGATGATTAAGACACCTGAGCCAAGAAAAGCTCGGAGACACACACGCACACACACAGACACACAGACAGAGACGTAAAGGTACAAACTTAGCATGTTCATTTCCCTCTTATATAAACTCTAGAGAAACTGAGCAGTCTCACTTTGCATTTAACGACAGAAATTAATCTTGATACAAATATTTAGTGAGTGCTTCACATTTTAGTAATTTGTCATTTGACAGCACAGGAAAACACAAATTCAACAGCATGAAGCAACCCTACCTATCCTGAAATACAAACTTGGTAACGCTTTATTTGAAGCCTATCTCAATAACGCATTACAAGTATATGTATAATGCATTATAATCACGTTATAGCACTGCATAACTATAGTTATAAACACTCAAATGATCATTTTGCTTTATAGCAATAATCATAACACATTATAAAGCATTTTAACATGACGTACAAGGTCAGGTATTATAATGTGTTATGCTTATTGTTATAAAGCCTTATGATAATTAATGAGTGTTTATAATGACAGTAATACAAGTTTATGAGCAAATTCTAACACATCATAAATATACGTATAATGCATTATCCGTGTGGGCATTGTCAGTGAGTTGCTAACAGTTATAACACATTAAAATACCTGACCTTGTAAGTCATGATAAAATACCTTATAATGTGTTATTATTATTGCTATAAAGCATTCTGATCATTTATGAGTGTTTATAACAATACTTATACAGTGCTATAACGTGATTATAACACATTATACATATATTTATAATGGGTTATAGAGATAGGCGTCAAGCAAAGTGTTACCACAAACTTATCTTCATCATTACTGATGTTTTGTTGCCCTGATAAAATTGTTTCCTGGCTTGAGCTGAAAGGCAGCAACAGACGCCACAACCACCACTAAAAAAAAAAAAAAAAAAAATGTTACTTTTCATAGACTTACCATTGTAGACCAGCTCAGAGAACTTGATACCCAGACCCTGTTTGATCCGACGCACCTCTTTGTCCATGGTAAAGGTCTCGATGTCTAAATGGGCTGCCAACAGGATTGTACCTCCTGGGGTTTCATATATCCCTGACAAGCACAGACAAAAAAAATCATTGCCAAGAACACACAGTGGCTGTTTTCTTGACAGAAACAGAGACCTCTGTGAGGAAATGAAGCGACTTAACCAGCCTGTAAGTTTTTTTTTTTTCCTGTTTAAAAACAAAATTTACTGATGATGATGATGATTTTTAGTCAGCTGGCTTTTTGATTCCAGGACATCACCGAGGTAAAATACTCAGTTTTTATCATTTCCTCCTGTACATCTCTTATTTAAGTGCAACCAGCAGCACCACTGCCATCATAACCATCAAAGGCCATTCATACAAGAATAATACACAAGCCCTGTTCTTGTGAATTAACTATAGGAAACGGCTCGATTAGCCGTCAGCCACCTGACAGACAAGCCTTCATCACAAAACACGAATGAGCCTGTCCTGGGTAAATGACAGGGTAGGAGGCCCCTGCCAGCCTGGAGTCTGGACCAGGGTTCTGCCTACCCTGCAATTTACCCCCTCTGGACAAGGAAGGAGGGGTGAGCAGAGAAAAGACGAGGAAGATGACAGGAGAAATGAAGCTGTCACTCAAACGTCAGCTAAAACAAAAGAAGGGTCGGGGAAAATGCTAGCGGACAGATTTGACAACGGAAATAGGAGCTTTATCAATGACATCTATTTTGGTAAGTGCCGGTCCCCCCTTACAATACATGGTTCCTCTCATCACCTGTCAATTTGAATGATGGCTCGACTCAGACAGATTCTTCATTTCAGCTATATCCAAACTAACTGGGTTTCATAACGTGTGCGCTGTTCACCCGACTTTGTAACTCTTCGATCTTTCCAAACCTGTTGAGCAGACAGGTTCAAATCCGAATAGCCTAAAATACTCTCGAACAAACCGGTCTAATCTGAACTGTAGGAGCACGAATAACTTTGAGCTAGCTGCCCAAAATAGAGCTCAGCAATGCTGCTAATTGTCATAAGCCTCCAAAGGTTGCCACCTGAGCTCAAACTGCTTTTGGCTTTTTGGTGATCCGGGGCCACAGAGGGCGCGTAGGGACATTTCCGTCGCCTCTATCAGATCGAGTGAGAAGTTAAAACTGCCCTCAAACACAACTTGGCTTAAGTGCTCCGAAAGAGAGCGAGCTTAACGGAGAGGAGCAAACAATGAAATGCAATCCGGGTAAGCTTCGACAGTGGCAGTTTAGTTAAGCTTCAAGAGACAACACCCCCAGCGCTGTTTGAGGTTTTAATCTTTTATACAGGTACTGAAAGTTTGCTAACCCATGCTGCAGGCCTGGAGGGGTTCAGGTCAGGCATTAATTCTTTTTGTGCTGATCCCCTCTGACCCTTGAGGGGAAATTTGGTCCTGCATTAACAGGCAACACAAGTTAAAAAATGCAGCTCAAAGTTTGAATTAAGAATTTGCTGCGTCATGATAAGTTAGATTTAATCCACTTCAGACGCCCTCAGAGCAAATTTAATTGAAATGTTAAATCTATATCTGTGGATAGAACAAAAACATAACACGGTAAGTTTATTAATGATCTATGTGAGAATCCATCAATGTTTTCAGCCTCTTCCCAGGATAGTGAATCTTTCCTCTAGGGCTGGGCAATAAAAGGAAAACTATATATATCGAGAATTAATTTCCCTCAATATCGATATAAAATACGGTCAAATATGCTTTTAGATAGTAGGCATTCTGCCATGTTTTGGTAGACTATTCGATTCGCCAATGAAAAGGGGAGTTGCTGTGGGTCTGCTTTGCACTGAACCAATCGTGTGCTGAATTGGAACCAAGTAGCAAACAACTGCGTATTGGCAGGCTGCAGCTACACGCAACCATAGCACTTTAACACATGAAGCCGACAGCACTGTCGGTGAGAAAAAAAAGAAAAAGAGTGTTACCCCCGGCAGAAATGCAGATGAAGGCTCAATAGATGATGAAATCATCGACAACACTGGCATGAAAGCATCGGTGGTGTGGAGGTATTTAGTTTTTTTGAGGTCAGACATGAAGCAGCGTAATGTGCACTGCAAATTATGTCGAGTACATGTTCTCGCGAAGTCGGGGAATACCTCAAATCTTTTTCACCACCTGAAGAAGTGCCACGTGCTAGAGCATGTGCAATGCAAAAGGGAACATTTATGATTGACAGGTGATTTTTTTTGTATCGTGATATATATCGATATTGACTGATATGAAAAGATAATACATCGTGATTAACTTTTTCCCGTATCGCCCAGCCCCACTTTCCTCATTTACTTTAGTTCAATAAAAACAAATTAAGCCAGTAAATAATGTAAAAAGATTTTTTTGAACGTTTTAGTGTTTCTGTACAACATGCAGCCCGTCTCTTGTCAAAAGAAATGGCCACTTCTGTCTGCTTTTTGGTTTCTCTTCAGCAAACACCATCACTGTTGCACAGGTCAGAGGCCTGACAGCGCTGTGACAGATGGGAAATGTTCGTCTGCCACTGTTGAATGTTTTGTAGCACTGTGACAACATTCTTGACAAACCATTTCAATCCCCTCCGCCCCCCCTGACCCCACACAAATAAATATGACCCAACACAAATAGGTATGACATGTCCCCATTCAATCCCACCCATCATCTATTGTGCCGACATGACTGCCATCACTCCGGAAGAAGACCAACACGTACACTCGATGGTAGTTATTCAACCACTTGGACACCTTGTGCTCCACCTCTTCCTATTGCTTCAGTGGAGGAAAAAGCTTTGATCTTTTGTTCAGCCGAGGGGAGAGAAAAGTGGGCTTCCCATTTTCCAATTTCTACCTGCCAAGTTGCACCACAGCCTCAGTCTGTTGGCCAGTCAATTTGCCAATCACAGCGCATGGTGTTGTGGGGGGGAGAAGAGGAAGTGTGCGCGCTTCATACATGAAGACAACAGTTCAGTGCTCTCATGTATTAGCAGCTGTAAGGCACATAGAGACGTAACAAAAGAGCTTTTCAAGCCTCCTGTTGATAGCTTACATAAAAAGACAAAAACAATTGTGTGTCTGCATGTGCAAATATCAAACCCACTGTGTTTTTAAAAGGATCCGGTGAGGCATGTGCAGTTATCTTTTTCACTGTGCGTGTTTTTGTATGTGTATGCATGCATAAATGAATGCAGGTAACTTCAGCGTCTATGATTCCAGGTGAACCAGAGTAAAAAAACATCTTGTTTCTCGAGAGTGTTTGCCATCCAGCTCCCTTTTACAGGAGTTGAATAGCAAGTGTGACACTTAAAGCACTCATGTAAAATAACCGCAAATTGCTTGAAAGCCCGAGATATGGGAAGGAAAGCTTCTGAATAGATATAAAATTAAAATATTGAGACGAATTTCACGGTGAGTACAAATACATCCGTCTCAGTGGGTTTAGGGTGTATACCGCTGTTTGTGTGAGAAAGGAATCCTGTCGGGTAAATTTAACACAAATAGAAGATAAACACAATCAAGAAAGATAAACAAAAATACATTAAATAACTTTTTTCTTACCCCTGGACTTCATGCCAATGAAGCGATTCTCGACGATGTCAATCCGGCCCACACCATGTTTCCCACTGCAGACGGAGACGGACAGAAAAACAACCTTCAGTGGGCGCACACACTGAAACTTTGATATCACCTCGAGTTGAATTAGTTCACAAAAGGAACCCTTAAGATAAAATAAAGTCTTATTTCACCTGTTTGTCATGACACAATCATCTTTCAACTAACAATATTATATGAACATGTCAAACCTAAAATCAGTTTTTAGATATCTCTGACATTCATAATTCACAATTTTGACTACAATTGCTCCAGACTATACCTCTTTAATAAAAATAAAGAACCCAGAATATATTTAGTGTTTTATATAAAACAAAATGACAGAAAAACAGAAAAAAAAAGTGAAAATCAGCATCAAGAAAATATCCCAAAGAGCTTTTTGGCCTGAAACCAATCATCTTGGGTTTGTTACACTTATTAGACAGTTCAAGCCCAGGGCAGCATCAACACAGAGAAGGTAAACTCGACTTGACCACAACTCACTCCTGAGGCTTTGGTGAAAACATGCCAAAGAGGGTCGAAATAAATATTATTTAGGCATTTGGACAAAAAAAAAAAACAAGAATTACCCAATCTCATTGAGGTAAGAGAAGATATCCAGGGGGGAGGTCTTGGATTGGCCTTCCTTCATATTGGTCACCATGATAGGCACTCCTAAAGGGAAAATATCATCATGCAATTATACTGACACACAAACAGCACAGTTTTAACAGTATTGTGTGTTTGTTTCACCACTTTATTTTATTGAACATTCTCATGACCCCGTCAAAGTAGTTTCGCAGTTGAAAAATCTTCATGAATTCACACTAACTAGGAATTGTTTTTACACATCAATATTTTATCATTCTTAAAAAATGTTCAAATCTTAAAAATGGCTTTAATGCAACAGAGCAGAAATCTGTTAACTATCAAGTTCAAGCAAACATGTTGATAACATTAAAAAAGCATGCATAAATAGGTGCCAGTATGAAACATTACTGAAGTACAGTTTCAATGCTTTACTATATTTCTCTTAATATACTACTGATGTAGTATATTATGCGCATGCATGTGTATCCTTTACCATAATTACCTCTGCTGTTTTTAATGTTTTACTTATAAAGCTGTGTGCAAATGAGACATCCATAAAGCACATTTTACACATCACAACAAATGTTTGTCAAACAATAACCTGCACCTGTGTGTGGATTTAACAACATGGTATCATCCACCACTAGAACAGCAGCAAATATATCCACATGAACATGTCAGAAAACATCTAGAATCATTATTTACTTGGACTCTACCCGTATTGTTTACAGTTTTAAAACTGACTGATGGGTGATTTTAACTAACTAACAGACTAAAGTGTCAAAAACCTGTCAAGAATTGGTAAATTCTGTTGAGGAGAGGTGATTATCTCAACACCGAAATGAATAGTCATCAACCTATTGAAAAGAGGTGGTGAGGAGGGCTAATAAATTCAAAGGCCCAGCTTGTTTGAAAGCTGTGAAATCGTGGGCAGGCCTTTACCTAATTGAATTACTCACGCAGCTTTATTACCCACAATCTCTTTAGTGCAGAGAAGTTTTTGCGCCACCGAGTGTTTGTGTGTTCAAACACATGTGCAGGAGACAAAACCACTTGTGGATTCATCAGCCATCTTTCTATTAATATGTCAAATACACTCAAATGCAGACGTTCACGTTCAATCCACACACACACTTCCTCTCTAGTACACATCAATCACTGCCAGGGGGTCTTACTCGAGGCCTTCAATAACAACACAGGCCAAAGGTGGAGGGAAGGGAATAAACATGACGCCGTGTGTGTTTAGAGAAGGTAATGCAAGCGTTTAAGGAGAGGAAATAGGGGGGAAAATATCCACTACCTGCTGCTCAGTCCTATACACAGTGTAGCGCTCGCAGTCGTCCCTAAATTGCTTTGAAGAGGGGAGCAGCACTTCTGGTTGCCTTTCAACCAGCGCACACAAAGCCCCGATAGGAATGACACGTGAAGGACTTGACAAATATTTTTAGACAAGGGCTTTGTTGATGGCCCATTCTCGAATCGCGGGAATCGCGGAGGCTCCCATGGAAGAAGAAAAGTAACTCCCGGTGCAGGAGAGGGCAGTATGGATGATGAATTAGTAAACCGCGCCCCCTCCCAGATACCTAATAATTAGATTAAAAGTTCAAATAAATTAAGTGTCTGAACGTGGGAGTGTAGGGGCTGGCCTTTTCCGTGCCCGCACTCTTTTTTTTTTCTCTCCCCTCGCTCTCTCCATCATGCGGGTTCGATCATTCACTGAGGGGTCTTTTTCTCCCCGTGATCCTTTTCTTCAGTTTTGCGCAGCCTAACAGTGCAGACAATGGGAGCGCAGACACAGTTGTAGGAAAAATTACTGCTATACATTTTTCCTCTCTGTCTCTTTTTCCTCTGCACTTCTTTGGCATGAAAGGAGGGAGGGATGAATTTTTTTTTATTCCTTAAAAAAAGGGAGAGGAATGGGGGAACGGAGTGTTTGACGGGGGAAAAGGTTCCTGTCGTTAAATATTCTTTTTTAATCAGTGAGAAAACTTTGGTGAGAAAGGCAGGGATGAAAAGGTGGGAGGGGGAATGAAATGAAACATTCTTGTGCTGATCTTGTGCTCAGAGGGAGGAGTAGGCTCGGGCTTTTGTGTGGACAACTAAAACAGCTTTTGTCATAGGGTGCTCAATAAAAGGCACAGGGAAAATGTGTGAAAACAGAGCGCAGGCCTGCAAAGAACCCGCGAAATCAGACTTTACTACTGCCACACTGTTTTACCAAAGATTCCCTACTCTCCGACTGAGCTGGCACAAGCCTGCTTCTTTATACTTTAACATTTTTTACGGTATTTGTCAAGTGTAAGCTGAACAACATTCCAGCAAAGCCTTGGCTGAATTCTTCTTTAAAATTTACTACACTTCAGTCTGGTCACATAAAATCCCCACCAAATCTTCAGCCAACCTTCTGAACTTCCCTAAATTATTATTATAGCTCATAAAACGTCCGTGAAACCCATGTGATCAGAGGGGCTAGTGTTTCTCAGCCGATTGATGTCAAAGCTCTACCAGTGACTGGGGATGAAGGGACATCTGTGCTATTTGCCCCAGGCCTGGATGTTTCTTGCCATTTTCTCTTTGCGCAAACATGCGACACTTTCCTCTTTTCAGCTCGTGGCGATATATCTAATGAGCGTTTCTCTCCCCCCTCAGGGCTTGGTGTATTAGCTGGACTTAATGCTTCCGGCCTGCGTGCATGCCCCCGGGCTAAACATGGCAGCTCTGGACCGAGTAATGCTGTGAGGGGTTAAGGATAAGTCTGGGTGGTCAGGAGTGGTGATAAAGTGCAAGCGGGTCAGGGAAGAAGCTGTAGCCCTGCAGCGATAGGCATCATGTTAAGTAACATGAAGAGACTGAGAGAGGATTGACTCGACTGATCCCTCACTGAGGCACCAGTAACACCTTATATGAACCCACAGTAACACTTTACTTGACGCCTATCTCTGTAATGCATTATAAATATATGTATAATGCGTTATAATCACGTTATAGAACTGTATAACTATAGTTAAACCCTCATAAATGATCATAATGCTTTATAGCAATAATCATAAGACATTATAAAGCATTTTATCAAGACTTACAAGGTCAGCTATTATAATGTGTTATGTTTATGGTTATAAAGCCTTATGATGATTAATGAGTGTTTATAATGATAGTTATACAAGTTTATAAGCAAATTCTAACACATCACAAATATATCTATGTGGGCATTGTCAGTGAGTTGTTAACAGTTATAACACATTATAATACCTGACCTTTTAAGTCATGATAAAATGCTTTATAATGTGTTATTATTATTGCTATAAAGCATTATGATCATTCATGAGTGTTTATAACTAAAGTTATACAGTGCTATAACAAGATTATAACGCATTATACGTATATTTATAATGCATTACAGAGATAGGCATCAAATAAAGTGTTACAAAACCCACCTCTTCATGCTTTACTATATTGTGAGTATTAATAAGACATTTTCTTAATTGAGAATCATAGAAAATCAAAATACGTTGTTCTTGCTTTTGCATTAAGGTTTGATACCTTTATAAGGAATTATGCTCAGTGCATATAACACTTCATTAAAATTACTATGAGCTGTTATGAATGCTTATAATAACTCATAAAAGGGTGTAATAAAGCCTAATAGATGCATTTATAACGCTATTAAATATACTCATGATGCATCATAAGAGGTGGGTACATCAAGGTGTTACCAATCTATTTTTTTTTTCAATAAAAGTGCAAATTACGTTGAAATATAATTGCTCTGAAATTGGGTCATAATCAAGCGTGGAACCAGAATATCTTTCGGATTTAACAAAAGGAACCAGATCTAATTTACAAATATGAAAAAGGTGACACCAAACTGCAGCTGGTTCATTTTCAGTTTACAGTGAAAATGAAAATTTTCATATTGATGAATAAGTAGTATCATGTGCTCTTAAAGTATATATATACGTATAGTGCTCAGCATAAATGAGTACAGCTCTTCAGAGTTCTTAGAAAACCATTAGTTTCCTTTCAAAATCAACATTTTTATGCCATAATATACAACTAAATACTCCCAAAAATGTAGGCCACTGATTGCAAACAAGATTTTTTAAGTTGCATACAAAAAAGTCTTCTTTACTCAATTTAAAATCAGGATGCAATCAAAGTTCTGGGAGCAAAGCTAAATTTTAGTTACTGTATCACCTTTATTTTCATCTTAGGGTAAATACAATGTTATGTTAAACTCAGCTTTCTCAGAACTTTGGAAATTGTACTTTTGCTCATCTAGATATTGAGTAATACATTACTTTTAATAGGGGGTGTACTGACTTATGCTAGGCACTGTATTTATACACATCATCAAATCATGAGTGAAATTTATTAATTTGATTCATTATCTAATATCAGTTCTTTGCTTTCATGTCACAGAACCAAATGGTGTATAGAGTATGAATAAAATACACAAAATAAGATAGATTTTGATTTTAAAAATTATGGTGACAATTGTTTTGGTGAAAAGGTGGCTAAAAGAAGAATCAACAGGTGATAAAAATTGCGTGTACGAACCGTTCTTAAACTCTATCTCCAGCTCATCAGGGGTGTTGGGGGAATCTTGAGGGCTCTTGGTCATCAGGTACAGGTCAACCGGAGCTTGACTCTGAAAAATGCACAAGAAGTATACACTCACTCTCTCCATTTCACACACTTTTACCCCCTTGTTCAATAACCAGGACCTTCTGAGACCTCATCAGAAACAGAGCACTGCAGAAGGAGAAATATTGTGAGGTGGTAACCGACAACTGGAGATGATGTGGTGAGAAGAAAAGAGAGGGTGATGCGTGAAAAAGGAGAAACCTGAAAACACCATCAGGAGCCGAGTGAAGACAAAAAAAAAGAAGAAAAAAAATCAATGTTCCATTTTTCTCCTCTATTTGGTTTCATTTTCCCTGCTTGGCCCTTCACTGCAGGGGGAAGGCGGGAAAAGTGGGATGTAGTGAGGGAGAGAGTGGGAAAGGGCAAAAAGACAGAAATGACTCACATCCCTGAGAACAGTGAACAATTGACAAGTCAAAACACACCTGATACTATGTCAAAACCTATTCAAGCAACACTAAGACCTCAGTAATATTCTGCCTTTCTGTAAAAATCTCAGATCTACCACTTTAATCATGTCTCTGCAGCTTTTTCCCGCCTGCCAGACTGCCCAGATGTGACATCTCCAACGTTATTTACTTGCAAATGAAGTATTCTGATTAAAAGGGCCTTAAACTCTATCCTCGAGATACACCAAAGTTGTCCGAGGGGACAGACGTTTGTCGTTTTCCAGTTGGTGGGAGCTGGGAACGATTTCAGGAAGTCATAGTTGGGATCCAAAAGAGCGTGGCGGTCTGATGTGTCCGCCCAGCAATGTGGCCCTCCAACAATTACACAGCATTAGGACAAGACGATGGCCAATGTCTCCTGAGCTGAGGCAAATTGCAGGGGGACTATGCAAAATAACTACTGGGTGCATTTAAATGGAAAGCTTTACCAGACACTAAATCATCATACAATAACTAATCGGCATCTGCTGGTCGCCTGTCACTGAGGAGAAAACGAGCAGCGCAATCATTTTCCTTCCTTTTAACTAAACACCAAAATTGACTGAGAAGGCGCCCGTCTTCCTCTCCTTTATTTTCTGCCTCAGTGCCCTGAAAGATGCCAAATGAGAGTGAGCAGAAGAGGGGCGAAATGACTTGCCTAAAAGGCTTTTTGATGCATACTCTTTGAGGGGGGAAAGATGTACTGAATTTTAAATACCAGAGAATCATAAAGTGTATGTTTCATGTAGTGTTTTTGTAAACAAACGGTTATCTTTTTTGACCGTCTGATAAAATCAGACAGAGCTCCTCACAGCCTTTAAGTTTTATTGCATTTGTTATTGATACATTCTCGACTAAGATCTGGTGAATAAATTAATTAATCTAAGAAATCTTGTAAAATACTTTTTTTAAACTTTCACTCTGGGTAAAAGTATACAGATTTGTTTTATTTGTTGAGTGGTTGACTTGTGCTAATAAAGCAGTGAGCAGCTTCATAAAACACTTTCTAAACAATTAAACACATTTTTCCACATCTTTACCTGCTGCCAAGTCATTGTTTGAAAATTATGCACACTCCAGGAATAAGAGCTTAAATTTAAAGCCAATTGGAGATGGAGAAAGTAGAAAAGGTGAGGGGGATAAAAGTATACAGATTTGTTTTATTTGTAGTGCGGTTGACTTGTGCTACTATAGCAGTGAGCAGCTTCATAAAACAGCTTCCAAACAATTAAAAACAAGGTTTTCCACATTTTTACCTCCTGCCAAGTCATTGTTTGAAAAATTATGCATACTCCAGGAATGAGAGCTTAAATTTAAAGCCAATTGGAGATGAAGGAAGTAGAAAAGGTGAGGGGGGGATAGGCTTGTTTCCAGTGAGAGCGAGATCAATGCATTTCAATTCAAACCCCCTGCAGGTGGACCTGTCCCAAAGCCATGGCCCTGAAAGAGAGGAAAAGGTAGAAGCAGAGGAGGCGGGGGACAGGGGGGTATTGGTGGGAAATGGGGCATGAAGCGCACCACCATGTAGCACAGAGCAGCTCCTTTGGCAGCCTTTGCTTCTGCCATATTGTTGTGCTAAACGCGGCCCATACAGCAAAGGAGAGGGCTGACGCATGAACTTAAAGCAAGTAAATTTCTATCTTTCCACATATTAGTTGCCTCATTGGTTTTCAATCGAAGCCAATGAAGCCAAAGGAGGCAGAGGTGGCAGGAGAGAGAGAGAGAGAGGGGGAGGTAGGAAGGGAGGAGAAAGGAGAGTTGAGAGGGAGACAGAAGAGAAGAGGATGGCAAAAACATCTTTGGCGCAATGGGGCAGAAATGACGCTTAAATCACAACGTTTCAAGTCTGTCCTTCTCTTTAAAATGCAAACATGGTAAATTGAGACAAAAATAAAACAGTACATGCATGATGGGCTTGAAGGATATTTATATTCTTAACACCCAGGATGTTTTGGTTAATGTTGGCGCCTCAGCTGAATTTAATGAGGACAACAGGAGCTTCCACACCGAGGCAAGCTACAGTGAAGATGAACAGAGGAGGCACTCTGCGAGTGTCACAGGTCAGACCAATCAGACCTGAGGCCGACGGAGGCACAAGACAATCAGTGACCTCTCTGCTTCAAGGAACACATTCACATGCATACATACACCTACAAGTCCACTTCCTTTTCCCCACAGGCAACCTTCTGTCCATCCACCTCTCTGGCCGGCCACGCCAGCGGCAGAAAACAAGTTTTCATTTCCTCTAGGTGGGCAGGGGCTTGGTGTTACGCTCTTTTCCTCCTGGTCAACATGAGCAGTGAGCCGTCAGCTCCCTGATCAAAGAGGGAAGTGGGCCTGAGGAAGCTCTCTGACAGAGGCTATAATTAAGACTGAGGTGATGTTTTAATGACTCAGGACGAGTGTCGGGCTGCCTCGGGCTGCACGCTGACTGCTCAAGTGTGGAGGGACAGAGACAGAGGGAGGACGTGGTGAGGAAGTGCAGCGTGTGGAGCCAAGTAACAATTGGCATTTGTACTCATTTTGTGGGAGGTAGTAATACATGAAGGTATTCATACACCAGCCGTCAGATTAAATTTAGTAAAGGTGTTTCTGAATTAAGGATGGGCGATATGGGCTAAAGAATTGCAAATGTGAAAACATTTTCAACATTTGCTGAACAGCAGCAGATCCTCTGAACGATGTCAAGCATATCTGATTGCACTCATCTAAGCCCCAATCTTAAAGGAAATCTCTAATGTGATTGTTCAGTAACGAACTGCTCAGAAAAAGTCTTCTTATTCACCTCCAGACATGTTTGTTTGTTATTGTGCTCTGTGTGGGCTATGGCTGCGAGTCTGTCGCTCGCGCTCATCAACTTGCATTTATTGTATTAGGGGTGGGACTCACCAGTGGCCCAATGATACGATATTATCATGATACTTTGGCCAGGATACGATATTATTGCGATTTTTAACATTTGGCGATACAGTGAGTATTGCGATACACTACATTGCGATCTATACAATTTTTTCAAACTGTTTAGCTGATTTAGCATTTGTCTTTCCTTTATATTTGTCTTATTTACACAGTATTTTATTTTCATGTAGCACATCTAGCAAATGTTTATATTTTGTTGTACTAACTTTGTCCTGCTCTATGATGTCACCTCTGCAAACCTCACTGGACAAACAGTTGATTTCATGTTTTCCATTATTGTAGATTTGACTTCATATTAAAAATCAATTTGAAAAAAAAAATAGATACTTGGTCGATGAGACGATACGATATATCACTGTACCAAATATCACAATACTATGCTGTATCAATTTTTTCTCCAACCCCTAGTTTTTATTATGAGATGGCAAATATTTATCATGGAGGATTTTTCTGACGATATATCATGAATGATAATTTATCACCCATCCCTATTCTGAATTAAAACACATAGCTGGCAAATCTGATACTGGCACAGCAGTATTAACATAAGAGGATCTTGTGTGACAGTAATTTGTCTGTAACTGGACGGCAGCTTTTCTCTTGTTCATGCTGATGGTACTGAGTGTGTCTGTATAAACCTGGTGACAGTAAGCTGATACAGTCCTGGCCGCATGTCTTCACACAGGTTAACTTCAGCAGATGGAGGTGAGTAAATAAAAGTCACTTGGCCATTGTGCTATAGGCAGGATGGTTTAGGGTTATCAGGAAGGATACAGTGTTAATCATAGAGTAACCTGAACTCTGCCGACTCTTATCTACAGGAGAACATATGAGCGACCACTCGGACATTTCCTAATCTGGCTGCAGAGAGGGGCCTTTGTACCACAGGTAGGGGGCGATTGGGGGGGGGGGGGGTTTGAATAGTTGAGGTCCGCCTTGAGCCTTTAGGGCTGTAACCAGAGGAGGGGCAGAGGCTGATACAGAGAGGAGATACTAAAAACAACATGACCTCTTAGAGATGGCCTTTCAGATTGATCAGAATCTGTCGTGTTTGTTTGAGCATACAGCAGAGAAATTTACTTTGCTTTGTTTAACACAATTAACTCTATAATTAACTGTATAATCTGTGTCAATTTTCACTTTAAGAAAGCATTCAAATTCATGTTTGAATTGGAATTACAGCTTAGCTTCATGATGTTGTTGTGGTGATGTTTTGACTGACCCTAATTAACAAACTTACATGAGAAAAAAAAACTAACTGCAAGAAGAACCAGAGGCTTAGGTTACTGAAAATTACTCTTCATTACGGCTCATTCAGAGTTCAAAATATCATTTCTGTGCCCCGGGTAATGTATTCAAATCCTTTTACCACTCTGGACCCATGCACCATAAATATTTCATTGTATTTAATGCTTATAATCGATTCAATATTGGGCTAAATAGTCCGACACAAAACCCCCTGAATGAAATCACAGACACAATACTGTCATCATGCATCGCTATGCCATTGAAGCAGTTGGTCTCATTCTTTTCAAAACATTTCTCCACAGGCCGACCACTAAAGAGGCAGCGGAGGGGTGGGAAAAGGACGACGAGAGAGCGAGGGAGATGGAGGTCTGAGAGTTACAGTGGCCCTGCCCCTGCATCTCCACTCCAGCAGCGGGGGACCCCTCGCCTCCCTGTGACACCCAGTCCATTGGGAGACTCATCTGTCTGGTGCACAGTCTTTGTACTTTACTGTTACTGGTGACATTTTGGTGTCACGGTGTCACGGTGAAGTGGCTCCCCTCCCACGTTGCAGCCTGCGGCGGCGCAACAAGTGGAACAATGAGGTCCCAAGGAGTTGGGGCTGGAACTCAGGAGGCCCCAGCTGGGCGCAACGCCCTAACCCTTCCCCCTCCCCGGCTCCCATGAAATCGGGAATTAGTCGAAGCGTTGCTGACGACAAGTCAGTGTCTGTGTGTCCCAGGCTCTTCCCAGGGCCCAGCGAGGACCCGGGGTGAGGAGCGACATAGACACAGACACAGCGACTGAGGATGAGAGCTTTGGGGTCACTGAGGGCAACCTGTATGTACAGCTTTGACCTCTGACCCCAGCAGAGATCAAACTCTGGCTCACCCATGGCACTGTGGGAGAGTGAGTTGTGTTTGTCGTTGGTGGGACTGGCATGGGTCAGCAGAGGGAAGAGAAGCCCTACCGCTGAGTTATTTTAACGCTCAATAAAGATGGATTATACTTTTCAACTGTACAAAAATGTGAGAGAACTCCTCTGACTGCTGGATGGACATGGACAATAATCGCTGTGTGCACTTGAGAGAGTGACAAAGGAAATATTTACTGTACTGAAAATCAACTGCACGAATTTTCAAAATCTATTTCTGCCAAGTCTTCTGCCGTTAACCGCTTTTTTGTACTTTATTAGTTCGAGTTAGAAATACTCTGAAGACACAGTTCAGATCTGTAGATGATAACCTGCCCAGACTTTCATGAACAACAACCAAAAGATTTGACCAGAAACTCTTCAGGCGTGCATTATCTGTCAGTCAGTATTGACAGTGAATCTCAAATGTGATTCATAGAATTCACACTCAATGTGAGAGGAGTTTCTTTCTGGGAATTTAACCAGCGCTTATTCATATCAGAGTTCAGATCTGAGTAACCGAAAGTGGTTCAGTTTCACATACATAGATAATGGTTTCAGTACTGACTCATTTACCTATAAAACCCCCACAAACCAAAAAGGTCAGAAGCTAAAGTAGCGGTAAGGGAAAGAGAGGAAAACTGTAACTGGTCTTACCTTAGGATTCTCGAGGATACCGGACTCATAGCTTTAACCAAACGAAGAAAAATAAAGTCAGTGTCTTGTTAGTGTATCATAAAACATACAAGGAGCTGAGGACGGCACCATGCACTTGTTCTACCCACCTGATATGCATGAGGTTGGCATCCATGCTCCAGGGCGCCTTGGGAGTAACGGGAACAGGGATGCCATGTTTCTACAGAGTGACAGAGAAAGCTGTTATTTTACATACTGTTTGCCTTAAAGCTTACTGCACTCGCAGGTAAATGTAGAGACTTTAAATTAAAGCTCTGCGTCTCTTTGGAAAAAAGTTCTGAATATAAGGAGTGAAGTAAACTATTTCTAGCGGCTGGTTTTTGACATGCTGCGTAACAAAAAAGCCTCTTTCCCTACACTGCTTTTGTCTTTAAGAGTCAGAAGTAAAGAGCACAAAACAATCAACGGAGAAAGATGGGGTTTTTGGGGAGGGTATTTCCAAAAAGTAGGAGCCAACAATTCCGTGTTTTCAGATTGCATGTTTCTCAAATGCTCCGCAGGCCAACGGAGAGTGGTCTTGAATTTAAAAAAAAATCATGATCGCCCTCTAGTGGTGAAAATAGGTCCATATCACCTTCCACGAGATCGAAAAAGCCAGTACATGTGTACTTATTCTAAGCCACAGAACTTAAATTTAACAGACTTGATAATAATTCTAAAATCATTAAAATCTTGTTATAAATATTTTAACAAGAAAAAGGTTTAACATAAAGAGAAGCCTGACATAAATTTAAGACCGATCAAAACAATATTCTAAATTATTTATCCCCTCTGTGTTTTTACAGCTTTTCTCGACTTTTACCCATTTTTTGGTCTACAAAATATCAGCATTTATTTAAGTTTTCATTTCATCCTTCAGCACTAATGTATAATCTATTGCTGATGCGTTTTTGTGTCTTGAATCTGTATAAACTGCCCTTTGAGGGATTCATTTAGTCATTTGATTCAAACTGCAATACAGAATAATAACAGGAAATACTCAGATGGTAAATTAAAATAATTTATGGAATAATTTCAGGGAAGAAAACTATATTTTTGCAACAAAAAAAACTGCTGACAGGTATTTCCGATTGTTTAATTAAAACGTGAAACTTCTTTTTTTAACATTGCTTTAAAATGACCCAAACATTTTAATTGAAATAAAATGTTTTGTGCCAAAATTTAAAAATTGATGCTTCCTTTTTAAGGGGTCATAAAATTTATCAGGGCTGCACATTAATAAATAAAACATGTCAAAAACCACTGATGGACTAAATATGATTTTTTTTTGTGTGATTTTGACAGTAACCATCTGCTGAGGTACCTGTGCATACTCCATCAGGTCTGTCCTCCCCTTGAAGCGGTTGTAGAAATCTGGGATCCTCCACGGTGCAATGATCTGAACACAACCAGACAGAGTTAGAGCACCAAACACTTACTCGCCTTTACCTCCATGAAACTTTACAGTGAAACAGCAAACTTACCTTGACTTCAGGGTAGAGGGCGTAACATGTCAGTTCAAAACGGATCTGGTCATTGCCCTAAAAATATAAAAACACAAACATGACCAATTAGTTCCACATATCTCATGTCAGGTGTTTTCACTATTCTCGGGATTGTCATGATTATTGGGTTACGTATAATTTGGTTATGTGTGAACTATGTATGTGAGGAACAAGTTGAAACATCTGAACTGTCTCTCTAATAAATTAAACTATTTTTAATGCAGAGTCAAAGCAAGGCTTGATATCTGACAAGTAACTGGAGCTATTCTTTAACCTTATGATCTGGTGTATGTCTCCACCTACAGGAAAAACGTGAACACTGACAGTTAGCTAAAATATTTTCAGGTCAATGCATTTGAAAGTTACATGAAATACCCAAAATATCAAATACATTAAATGCCAACTAACTGAAAATTATTTCAGGTACTTCTAAATCACCTAAAATCATACTAATACTTTTTAGCACAAAGACAACATCAGAGTTTCAACTTCTACACATCTTAACATTCACACAATGATTAATTAGCTTAACAGATAAAAATAAATTGCATTACTCTGTCGCAGATTGTCAAGTAAACTTGACATTCATCTGAGTAAAATATGTATGCATTTTTGTCTGAATTATACAAGATCATAGCACAGATTTGGATGAAAACGTGAACACAACTGACGTCCTCAGGGAGCACAGATTTTTTTTTAACAAGTATTAGTTAACGAACTTTGAATGATACCAACATGTTTAATATTTGTCAGAGTCACTCATAATTGTCGGAGAAGCCCTTGGCAGGCCTCCAGGGTACAAAAACATATTTGCATTTTACTTTGAACTGCAGTGATTTATCATTTTATCCAGAGGCTCAGGCACTCAAGGGGTTGACATCTGTTTCAGTTTTTGCCAGAAGCATCGGTTTGGTTTCACTGGTTATATGACTCAAAAGGAGAAGCTCATGGTTTCCAAATAAGGGGGTGGGGATGAGGGGGGGTGTTGTCGCTCTGACGAAAAGAGATTTCTGGATTACTGCTGCAGTTTAGCTGAAAGAGTTAATGTTCAACCCTGCAAACACACGGCCTAATCCTCATGTCCAGACTATGGACAGTGACCTCATTTGTGTTTGAAAAAGTCTGGCTGAAGCTTACTTGTAGATCAGGCACACGGCATGTTACCACATATTCAATTAGAGTATCTATTCAGTCCCTCTCCTAAAATACTAGTAAGAAAATATAAATAATATATTTCGTTTGAGTGAAGCGATTCAGTTTTTAGCAGGTGTCACTGCATTCTATTTCCTCAGTGCGTAGTCTCTTGTCCTGTGTCATGTTTACCTTTCCTGTGGCACCATGGGAGACGAAATTGGCCCCCTCCTTGCGTGCAATCTCAACCTGACGGCGGGCGATGCAGGGCCTTGCTATCGCAGTGCCCAGCAGGTATCGGTCCTCATAGATGGCATTGCCTTGGACTGAAGGCCAGATGAAGTCCTCCACAAACTCTGCACGCAGGTCTTCAATGTACACCTACACAGGAGCCAAAGCCAGGACACAAAACAGGACTTACTGTTAAATCGTGGATTGTTTTCTCTCTGGAGTTGCTTTAAAATATCTCATGAATTATTCATGATGCCTTTTCTTTCTTGGAGAGGAAATAAACGGTGATTGTTTGCAGAAAAGGAGCTTTGTCTGTAGCTATGTGATGGGAATGCAGAAACCTTTGCTCACTCATGAATCAGAGTGACAGAGCTACTTTTTCCAGCCATTTAAGCACACTATGACTTTGTACTTGTCTAGGCTTGAAACTTGCCTTTGGTCAGATTAAGGAGTTATGTTTCTAAGACCAACAGTAAGCAAATTTGGAGGCTTCACAGAAAAAGAATGGGTCTTGGTGCCTTGAATGTCACTGCAGTCAAACTTTCTGAATTCTCTTTTTCTTTGGGACTAAATTCACTTCAAATTCACAGTAAGGGTCTTCAAAAAGTTAAGCTGTATCATGCGCATAAGAAGTAACTTAAATCCTAATATCAGAAATATGAATGTCTCAGATATGGTGATAAATTTGGTAACAGATCTGGTACCATAATTTGTAAGCTAGTTTCTAGGTGCTCAGTCAATCATCTACAAGAGTCTCCTGTTTTTTTCCCTGAACAAAAGTGCTAATGATTAAAAAGACACTTTTATAGGTTATTTTTTGTTGTGTGTTTTTGTATTTCCAGGTATTTGCAGAGATTGACAAGTGGCAATCAAATTAAAATTTCTTTCATGTGTAAAAAATCTTACAAAAGGGTCAATAGTAGACATTTTTAGAAGATTGCACGGGTATTTTCCTCAGCAGAGACCTTTCAGCTTCATTCGGTGTCTCTGCCAAATGTTTAGACAGCTGCTGGAAGAGGATTATTTGTTATCTTGGCAACGTGGTAGTTGCAGTCATTATGTTACTCCTCATCAAACATCAGTCTGACCAGCAAAACAGTCATTTATGGTTAAAGATTGTTGTTCCCTTTCAGCACTTATCTCTCTCCTAGAATCCTGAAAACTGTCTACTGAAGGTTTAAAATGCCAAACTCAACTATTGCACAAGAGTGAGGCTGAGTAGAAACATGCAAAAAGTACTAATGAGTCTTTGAGGCAACACCACTTTTTTTTTATTCCTGCATCTTACCTTTTTTGCACCAAGGCTTTCTGCCTTTTTCTGGGCAGCTTCAAAGTCTTCCTCTTGCCCAATGTTGGCCTGGGCAGAAAAATCACAGATATATAGTTTAAATCAAACACAAGTGTTACAAGTATATTGGAATAACAGTAATACATAAATATTTACATTACAGTCTATGCAGTTACTTCAGATTAGAACAACATTCAGAGCCTCTGCATGTAAACAGCCTCGTGATTGTGTAAGTTGTAACTGTGACAGTCCATCATCTTGTAAATTAGATCACATCTGTTGAGGAGATGTAACATCCTGCCTCCTGCCAGTACAAACTCAGCATGAATACGACCTCGGGGCTTAAGTAGGCTGTCTGATCTCCACTCATACTCCGCTGAAAGGAACACGAGTGAGTTAGATCTTGACATGATATTGATCTTGTAAAATATCAGTTGCCACTTTCCCCTCCAAGGATAATCGTCTAGTTCTGTGATGAATGCTGTTTAAAAAGTAGCAGCAATAAAACTGCACTTTGCTTTTCTTACATCGTATCTCTATTGTGTAAAATTCTGACCTTTGTGAATTACTGCTGAGTGATAATGACATTTCAGCTGCATGATCTCTTTTCTTTCAGAGCGATTAACAACTAATAATTGATAAACAGCTGGTAAAACTTCATTGCTGAACGCCACAGTCCAGAGGATGACACGTGCAAATACTTGTAGGGAATTAATCTGCCTGACAGCGCGTGTGTTCATATTTCTGAATTATTCAAAAAAGGTTTAAAAACTGGATCAGTGCTTCACATTCTTCCTCTGCTTCCTCTCTAGGGCAGAGGCCATGAACATGTGGAGGGGCCTCACCTAGAATGTCACAGCAGTGAACTATACACGATCGCCCATCCCCCCCTAAGTCTGACCTGCAAAACTATTGAATGAAACGTTAGACAACAGGAAAATCTGCATGCCATGCAGTTCAAAACTGCCACAGGGCAAAAAGTTAATCCAGTCAGATCTACGCTGGCATTATAACAGTGAATCCTGCATTTAGGAGCCAACTGGTTGTAAAGACCAGACAGGTATACTGGTTGATGAGTTGCGTCAGCTGTCAAACTGCAGCATAATGCAAAACTTCACAGATACATTCCAAGCTAAAGCAGCTGGCAGGAAGCACAAACTCGGACAACTGTTGAAAAAACACTTGTGTGTGAAACTTACCATGTATGTGATGACATCGAAGCCCTGTTCTTTCAGCCAGACTAAAATACAGGACGTGTCAAGTCCACCGCTGTAGGCCAGAACCACTGTGCCTTTAGACATGATGATGGCTGCTCAGTGAAACAGGTAGAGAAACTGAAGAAGTCCTGCAGAGAGAGTGCAAATATATTTGTTACGAACAGAAAAGAGGAGCAAGTGTCAATAAATAACCTGAATCAAAACAGCAAACTTAGTCTGCTCTGTGTCTATGGTTTACATATAAAGCCTCGTTTATCCCAGAAGGGCTTGGCACCAGGTCATGGACTAACTTTATTTAAATAAATGCATCTTGTAATATATTATTGAGAAACTATTGAACCCTTTTGTCCTTCCGGTCCTTTCTTTCATCTTTTATTTTAATGCAATCTGTAGAAAAGACAAAACAAATGACTGTGTCGCCTTGGGCACAGGGAACCTGTTTGGGAATTTTCTTACATTTTTATGACTAAAAATGTTAACAGCAAAGCAAATAATCAGCAGCTGCAGGCCTATTCCTGGGGCAAAGCACTTTGAAGTGAGGTTCATTTTGTCAGGAGGAAAAAACTAGACTACAAGTGAAATACAGTACATAGCTCAGTATGTTGCTTAACATTGGTTGTTAGGCTTCACTGTGTCCCAAATCGCATACTTCCATACTAAATACTTAATATTTTGAGCATACTCAACTCAAAATGGAAAAAAAGTATGGATAGTATGCAAAAATTGAGTATGCAAAAGTATCAGGATGACGTAGTCAAATCGGTCAAGATTTTGAGTATGCGACTGTTGGACACTCACGCTGACTCATTTCATTGGTATGGATGGCTGTGGACGGCATTCTTGCCAGTGGGTCGGCGAGAGTCGACTTGGGAGCTTTGTACAGATGTAAGTAATAAGGTGCCTTTTACACATGTTCTTTCCACCAAGCATCACCAGTGTTTATTGTTTTAAGTATATTTGTGGTGTAACCTCTTTTTGTCTTTTACCGCAAACAGTATCATGAATGCTAATGGTAGTTCGCTAGTAGCTGCCGGGTTCCGAAGTGTTACCCGTGGCAAATAAAAAATAACCAGCGAGCCTGCTCATGGACTTGACGACCAGAAGCACTGACACCAACATTTTAATTTATCTGTGTATTTTGACCGCGCACCGCAGTGTTTTCTTGGTAGCCTCAGTCTGCTGCACCGATATCAGCAAAGCCTTCGCTGTAGAGGAGGCTAATATTAGAACCGTGGGGAGGGCTGCATCGTAAACACTCACAAATAAGGCAGCTATTGTTGGCTAGCGAGGCTAGCTAGCCTGTGAATAGAAGCAGTATCAGGCACAGAGGTTTGTCTGCAGCATATCATGTCATTATTTCTTTAGTTTTTTTTCATCTGTAATTTCCAGTGAGTGCGCCGTGTGGCAGTATGCGATTTGGGACAGCACTGCACCCTCAGAACTCGCGCACTGCGAGATTGAGTACATAGTATGCTTAGTATACTCAATTTAGTATTTAGTATGGAAGTACGCGATTTGGGAAATCTTATTGCTTGGCTTCCATATCACTGCATGATGGTGTTTAATTTAATATACAGAAAAAATAAAAATTAAGGGTAAAATAGCAGCATGGTGAGTAATATTGCACTTTCTGGAGGTAGAGTGGTAGTGGAATAAAAACCAAACAAATAAATATATATATAAAAAGATAAATGTTCTTATTTACAGATAACAAATAGTAAAGACAGGAACACAGTGCAGCAGGGTGAGAGTGGGGGGTTATATGGAGGGTATGGACTCTTTTGTTGCTGTAAAAGTATTACAATCACAGTTCATTTAAATGTAGCTGTCAGTTTGGCACTTTTTGGTTTCACTTGGCTGAATGAGGTACTTATCTGCTGGCTTTACTCGGTTGCTGAAATCTTACAGGTGGTTTCCTCACATCCTATTTTAAGAGACTCATGTTTCCGGCGAATAACGTCAATGAAACCGGAACAAACTACGTTTTCTCTCTAATGAAGGGTACCGAGGCGCAAAGGGGGTGGTTATCGTCCGTTCAGAGTTTCCACGTGGCTGGAAGAAACGTTTTTAGAGAAATGCGTTTGACACTCATTGATGCAGAAAACCATGTCTCACAGGACGCGCGCACTGAGATGCGGTTTTTCAAACACTGGTGGAAACAAACTGCTGTAGTTTGTTTCTACGTTAAAAATATTTCGAAGTGACAATACGGTAAATTTTTGTAAATAAAAACACGTTTTTTCTTAAGAGAGGGTTGGTGGCTACATTTCCGTGCTCCAGCTGACGCAACGTATTTGACCACAGCAGCATCAAGATCAGATGGAAACCGTGGCCACAAGCCGCTGCAACCACATCCTCCGGTAAACGGTAAAGTAGCAGCTTTACCGTGGCTGTAGAATACACACTTGAAACAAAACATTAACCCATATTCGTGAGGTGTACTTACAGGAGAGTGGTGGGGTATCCCTAACACCAGAGCAGAAGGATGAACCGTATCTGGAGACGTTGTCGTTAGTCGGTATAACAGAGGCAGCTGTGGTGTGGTTTACCGGCTGTGCTCTGATTGGTCCAGCTCAGATTGCGTCATCCCCAACACCCATAACGTAACTAGTAATTCAGTCATTCATTCAGGTCTATCATGAAAATGTGCTCGGATGATGAAAGATGCGCCTGAATTACATTGTGGTGAGGGAGGGGTGTAACAGATTTTGTGCATGACTATATACAAGTGGGAGTTTCTATATTTAATCACACCCAAATCTATTGCATCAGACGTAAGATAGGGGAGAGTGGGGTAAGTTGATCCACTCCCTGTTGCTTGTAAATGGTAAAAGGAAATTGATCATGTGACCAAATGGAGATAGGCATCAATTCATGGAGTCTGTGAAGGTTAGAAGCACATGGGTAAAGGGGTTAGGCATTTATTTCCAAAAAACACTCTTGAAAGTGAATTTAGTCTGTCATAAGTTTTATGAGAATTGTGTTCAGACCAAAAATGATCTTTTTAAATTTGTTTTTACATCAATTGTGGTATCTATGAGCTACAACATGAGGTCAAAAACCTAGCATAAAAGTCCACTATTTTAGCTTAGGGGACTAATAAAGTCATAATAGTAGTTCTGGGGTAAGTTGAACCAGTCGCTCGACTGAGAAAGTAAAGGAGTCTAAAGAGAGGATCGGAGTTTCAGTTCAGATCGTTGAAATGTGTTACTTTTTCTTTCCAAAAATACAGCTGTGAATGTTCTGAATCACTTAAAGACATTCTCATGTTAAAATGACTTTTTACAAAACAGCTTTTTAGCAGTTATATGCAATAATAATAAAAAGAACTATTGTACCAGTTGAATAGTGTATAATAGATCAAAATACACATGAATGTGAAGAAGTGACTGTTATTTAGGGAGAGAGAAGGTGAGGGAGAGCTGAGGTGGAGAGTGGTGGGTAGTAGGGATACGGCTCAACTTACCCCGCTCCGAGACCTCTTTTTTTTGGCATGCTATATTATCAAGACAGTTATGTTTACACTCATTCTGTTGATTTGCAGGGATGCACAACATCTTGAAAAATATGCAGATACACGAGTTAGAGACAAAACTAATTGCCTTGATGGAGTGATCCAAAATATGAAAAATGGCTCATCTTACCCCACTCTCCCCTACCCAACTGGGAGTTTCTATATTTAATCACTCCAAAATCTATTGCATCAGACGTAAGATATGATCACACACTAGGAGTGTGACATTATTCTCAGTGGCCAGTCAAAAATTGATAGGCCTACAGTAAGAGTTCAAGGAATGCCACATTGTGACCATGAGGCATTAATCTGTGAATTCTGCTTCAGTGGATCTGTACGGTGGCCGAGAACCACCACTGCTGCAAATAAAAAAGAATGCAAAAAAAAAAGAAGTCACAACGAAAGTTACCGATGCAAAAAAAAAAAAAAAGAAACAAAAGCCCACTGCAAACAAAAAAAAAAAGAAACAGTGCAGATTAAAAAAAAAGCCACAACAGAAGTTGGTGATGCAAAAAAGAAGTGGCGAGGGGAAAAAAAAAGTTACTTACTTCAAAAATAAAAGAATGCAAATTTTTAAAAAAAGCCACAATGAAACTGAACCTAACACTACACCGGCAAAATCAATAACCTTTCCACTAACTTCTTTGCTTGTCTTCTCGCCATCGTCTTCTGTACCTAGATAGTAAAACAGTAGTGCATCATCACTATTAGTCCCTGGCAACCCATTCTGTTGTGGCTTTTTTCTTGCATCCTTTTATTTTTGCAGTAAGAATTTTTTTTCTTTTTTTCTTGCATTGCCACTTTTTTGTGTCATTAACTTCTGTTCTGGCTTTTTATTTTATTTTATCTGCACCGTTTCTTTTTTTATTTGCAGCGGGCTTCATTTCTTTTTTTGTTGTTGTTGCATCCAACCACTTCAAATACTTTGGGAAAGTGCTTTAACAACAAGCAGCCTATTCCAATAACTTAGCAGGGCTCCTGTGAGAAGATATTGCCATTTATAAAACAAACTGAAATTTATGTTGAGGCCTTTCCATGATATTCACTTTCTACTTGAAATACTCACAATTATGGAAAAATTTGATCATCAAAAGTCAGCAGGATGAGAAATTATTAAAATGACACTACTTAAGCATTAGCAAACCTAGAGGTCCTCACAGGAGCTTTAAAGGGCAATCAATTAACATGTTTGAGTGTCTTCAGTTTTATTAGAGAAAGAGTAAAATGGTGAACGACACTAGACTTCTTCATGTAGCGAAAAAGTAGCTTCAATACTGGTCAAAAGTAAATCAAAAATGCTGCTCCACTGGCTTCCTGGGCTTCCTGAAATGATACACTACCAAACAGGATGAACCACTGCTTAAAAAGATACATGACATTTTGCATATTAAAAAAGATTAATAGCCTACCTAACAAAATGGTTACACTTCCTCAAAAACTGAGCCATATTTGATAGGAAAATGAAGAAATAAGCTTCCTGGGATCAGGTTACAGCTTGTCTGAATGAGCGACCTGTCAAGTTGAGCTATTTTGACACGATCGGATGCCTGAGGGTAAACCACCCAATATACAAACAACCTGATTATTCACCTATTAGTCACAATGTGTTAACTGACAAAACAAACTGCTTAGCTGGATGAGCTGTCTGACTTGATTAAATACATTACAAACTACCTCCCTTAAAAAAGGGAAGCTGTGGTTTGAATTGCTCATTTAAAGTCCACAGTCAAAAAGTAGAGGTCATGAGGATCACGAAAGGCAAGCCCTACCAGGCAAAGCTGTAAAAGGGTTCTTGGTTCAAGTCCAAGACGATGGCATGACATGTCAGCCAAGAGGAAAAAAAAGCTGTTTTCACATCTTTGATAAGCTGTTTTTAACCTGTGTTTTCATCCTTTTAAATCCTGGAAGAGTCAATTTATGGTACTTCCTTTAAGCCAAAAAATAAACATTTATACTACCCTTGACATTTGGCTGTGTTTTTAATCCTCATAATCAGAAAATTAAGGTCAATAGCTCCAGGAAAAGCAAGTATTTCCAGGCTCACCTGAAGTGTAGTGGTTAAGGCTACAGGTTCTTAGTGGTTTAGAAGGCAAGGATGAAGAAGGGAAGGATAAAGGATGATGAAGGGAGAAAAGGAAGGTAACCATTTATTATGTTTGGACTTTCCAACGGTTAGAAAAAAATCAGGCAGCAATCAAACATCGCAAGCTAGTGAATCAGGATCTAGTTATGGCATTTCTTTTAGATGTACTGAATCACTAGAATCAGTTCACTAAAAAGATTTGTTCAAAAGATTTGTTCACCAAATCACTGAATCATTTTGCGGGAGAGGCCTGCGACTCCGACCTCCAGAACTGATACACAGCTGAACAGTTCAGGATTCAGTTCAATTCATAGCTTTGGGACCGGGAGATGAGAGTGTTTGGCTGTGTTGCTTTAGCAAACAGGTCTGTAAAAATAAACTTCTTTCTAAGTTATGATGTTTTAAGTGTACTATCCTATGGTATGCTATTTATCAGGTCTGCTTGGTAAATCGGGGTCAGTGAATGATTTGTTCACTGAACGTTCAGAAGAATTCACGCTGAACATGCACCGTTCCCTCGCAAACTGCTGCAATGATAGGATGCTGCTGGTTTAATGCACTACTTTAATGCTGGGTCCTATTGTAGGCAAGTTGTTGTGGTGGCAATTTAGTCATGAAAAAAAAATGTAGTTTTGTCCGACAAAACTGCTTCCAAAGACTGTTCAGTATGGTCACTTATGGTTTCTTTTGAACGAATCGTTCCTGAATGACACAATACTATCAGGATCTAGTTCACCCTCAAATCCAGTATCAGCTGCTTGCTAATGTTAAATCAGAATATAGGATTTTCCCAATGATATAATTTAAACAAATCCAAAATAACATGAAAGCAGCTCAAACTGATAGTGTGATGTAGAGGTTCAACCAGAAGGGGCCATTCATACACAGGTTCAACCAGCAGGGGGTGTTGGTGTTAATCATTTTCACATCCGATGATCTTGAAAACTTGACAGAAGTTCACAGAACTCAAAAAATTATTTTACAATCAAGTTTTGGCAACTTTCTAACAAAATAATATTTGAACTCCCTGTGACAAAATTGGTTCTTTTCTGTTTTAACAGAAAGGAAAATATTATAATATTATTATATTATTTTTACAGTGGAGTCTGAGCTTTGTTTTGATATAATAGTAAAACAGCGAAACTGCAAAACAAAGGCTGAGATTGAATGCAGGAGTTAAGGGCATTTTATGGGTTTTTAAACTACTCAGTGGGCCCCACAGTTCAAGAAAATTTAGCTCTGTGATTCAGTGTCAGTCCAGAGGAGGGCGCACAACACTCAGTAATTTTCAAACAAGTTCAAAAAGCCTGACAGGCCTACTCTCCCTCTCTACACATACAGTTTTTTTCTTTCAGGGGAATTTTGTATTTCTGACTGGCTATAGGACAGTTTTCCAAATACAACCAGTTTAAAAAGCTTAAGATTAAGCAATAGAGCAATAATTCACTGATGATTTATTGACCTGCCAATGACAACCCTTTGAATATGCTTTTTTAACATTTGAGCATGAATATGCGTTTACTTACCATCTGATGCATTTTAGTTCACCTGGCCATGAGGTGGTAGATGTCAACCAGTAAACTGGAAGTGATGCAGCAGATGGAAAGCTTGCAAGCCTATCTTAATTTACTCTTTGGAAAAAAATCAGTAACAGGTGGAGTGTTAAGAGTAGAGGAGTAAAATATTTCTTAAGAGTTCTTAAGAGTACTGATTGCAAAAACTACTAAGAAAGTTCAATTACAGTGAGTGTGCTTACAGCATTAAGGGTTACTTCCTATCTTTGGTGACATTCATTTTCAGATTATTTTAAGCAGTAGTCTGAGGCAGTGGTTCTCAACTGGTCTCACTCTGGGACCCACATTTTCCGTGGTCCTTAAGTCGTGATCCAATTTTATAAAAACTCAAACCAAGCAAATATAGAAAAAAACATTATAGACTTAAACTTTGACAAAAAAATACACCTATTTTATTAAGTAACTTGCATTTCAGAGCACATAAACTGAGGAGGACAACTACTAAAGTTGCGTATACAGAAAATATAAATTATCAAATTGCACACAATGAAGACCAGCAAAATGAAAGTTTTAACTTATTTGGATTCCTGCATTCAGAGCATTTTCAGAAGAACCTGAGGATATTCAGAGGACCATGCAACAGCACGGACAAAAGTGAATAAATATCAAATTGCACAAAATATGTAATTTTACTGCATTCAGGCCACATTAATAAGAAACCAAGGAGGACCACGACATAATGCATGCCTTTCAAAATAAGCTATTTTTCAAAATAAAAGATGTCAGACATCAGATGTGCATTAAATATTTACTTTTTTTTTTTTTTTACCTTAGACTATATACTATGGACAACTTAGTTCCGCCTTCTGCCAGTATATGGATTTGAAGCCAAAAAGCTCTTGGTATCTCTGCGATTTTTCTCCACTTTCTGAAACCAACATTGTGCAGTAGTGTTGGACACACTCCACCACTTGTGCAGTAGCATTGCACGCATTCGGCAAGAGAGTCGCTGAGAATCGCTGTTATGACGCTCGGCTCAAACAGCGTATCCCTCGGGTGAGCTATGCAATCTTTGTACACCCATATGCTGTATCAGGTGTCAATCATAGAAAACATGAACCCCCTAATAACTTTTAAAAATGGAGCTGTACAGAAAAAAGAAGACTTGAGCACAAACTAGTCTTACAATAACAGCATGTCAACATCACAAGCAGGGGGGGGATTTTTATATTTTGTGTAATTAATTTCTAAAGTGTTTGTCAACAGCCCCGTGAGCTTTGCTGGCAGAGGTGGGATTTATGACCTATACTGCAGCCAGTCAACAGAGGGTGCTGTTCTCGGAGTGGCTTCATGTAGTGAGGAGGCAGACACCGTCCATTCTATATACAGTCTATGTTTCTGACCGACTGTTCGCGACCTATCAAGAACGTGACCCACTTTTGGGTCGGGACCCACCAGTTGAGAGCCCCTGGTCTAAGGGATGATACAGCTTGTAAATCCTTTTATGGCAAAGTACTGCCAAGTTATTGTTATTATAGGTAAGTGTCATGATACTACCATAACAGACTATTAGGGCAGCTGGCGAGGATTAATTTGACGACCCACTTGAATAAAAATAAACTATAAATTCATATAAAAACCTTTAAGTTTAAACACCATACTGCCCACCCTAGGTCATGAAAACAGTGGTCCAGTCCCTGGTTCTGTCACATCTGGAGTACTGTATCCAACTTTCTTTGTGGACAAATTGGTGTACAGTGGCTATTCTCATCAACGTGTCACTCAGCAGGTTAGCTCTGGTCATTTAATTGTTTCATTCTCCAAGTCCATTGTATGAGGAGAACCTTGTTATTTAGATCTTTGGAAATGTGGAATAAATTGCCTAGGAGCACACAGCAAATAAGCAGTAGGTATAATTTTAAAAGGACTTTAAAACAAAACTGTATGTATGAATGAACTATAAAAGCATAGATTCTGGAGTGATTTTAATGTTTTTAATGTTGTGAAGAATCATGAATTGAATCTGTTATTGTATTTATTATTAATTAATTGTTAAAATGTAATTGTATTGTGATTTTAAGTTTTTGGACCAGAGAAAGACTAGCAACCAGTTTGTGGAAGCTAATGGGGTTCCAAACAAACAAATAAACACATAAAAATACTCACTTTATAGTCTTTTTTCTTTTCTTTTTTTCTTTTTGAATAGGTTCAGCTCTCAGCTTTATCGTGGGGTACTGGACTTTGTGCTTTTTCGCTCATTCAATAATTCTCCTCTATGGGCTAAATATCTCATTTTCGGTGTGCAGCAGGGATTGGACGGCTCCTCCGCTGCCGGGGCCCGCTCCGACACAGAGCCGCGCTCATCATTGGTCGAGCACGTGTCTGGGGCGTTTCACTGGGACAGCCCGGTTGTGTCCGGGTAAGATGGCGTTGGAAGAGCAGTGCTCGGCACCACCTCGATGGCGGTCCATATCTTTGACACACGTAGAGTTCCCCGAGGGTGAGTAAATGTAATGTATTTCTCTTTCTACTGAAACTGACAGCCGCTCAGTACATTTGGAAGTGTGCGTGTGTGTGCTCGCTGCTGAATGGACTCGGCCGCTGGTGCAGCAGCTGCCAAACTGTGAGCTGCTGTAAAACCTGAAGCTCAGCGGGGAATGAAGAAACCCGGACTGCCAAATTGTAAGACAACGCGCATGCGCATGAGGAGACAACGTCCACAATGAAGGCTAGTTAGCCTGTTAGCTATTTTAAAATCGGCTTTGATATGTTCTGTAAGCAGAAAATAAAATACGGTTTTGCAAAGCCCCGTGATAAATATTTGACAAAACCCAAGCACCTTTAACGAGAAATTATATTTTTAACCGTGGTGACAATAAATGGCTAATTCGCCTTACAGGAAAGTAGCCGTGGCTGTGGCTAAGGTATTAGCTAGCTCCTGGGTTTGAGTATGTTTAATATAACAAGCAAATCCGATTACTCAAAGATATTTGATGTTACAAAACCAAATTATGTGGTCTGTTACTTTACATAAATTCCGGCTGAGTGTTTTTAACAAAGGAGGATCACACTTTGTTCCCAGAGTTAAACATTTTATCCATCCGGGTTCACTGAGCGTCTCCAAGTATCACTCCCACCTCTGCTAGAAAGCTTCACTTGTCTTTTATCAATCCCTTAATTTTAATAATGTGTAACTTTGTTCCAGATGACCTGACGGGACATGTCCTGGCCTATATCAGTCTCCTGCCCATTGCAATCCTTGTGGGTTTTGTTACACTGATAGTGTTTAAACGGGAGCTGCACACGGTGAGTTCTGCACAGGCACTAGAAGTGTTATTTTGCATAAAGAGCATCACTTTACAAGCCCATTTTCTGAACACCAGGGACACTTTTGACAGATAGGCCTTGTGTTTTTTCATTTCCCATTTGTTGACCTATGCATTTCTTTAAACAGATTTCCTTCTTTGGGGGGCTCATCCTAAATGAAGGGGTGAACTGGTTGCTAAAGCACATTCTCAGAGAGCCGCGCCCATGTGCAGGTAAATCGTTCACTCAGTCATCAAAATTAATCCAGCCTTAAAGTAGTCCAGGTAGAGAAAGTGGTACTTGTACCTCAGAGCTGCCAAGCGTCACGCTTTCAGTGTGACAGTCACGCATTTTGACCCATTCACAGACCACACGCTACGCTTGACATTTCTCACGCTTATTTTTCCCCATTCAATACTCTGTATTTATTTTTTTCAAAATAATACACTTAGCTTGCTCTAATTCGAGTAACTCTGATTGACTGACCGAGATAACCAATCCCAGACCAACCTATCAGTCTTTTGTGCCTAAAGGTCCTTTAAACACTGGGAACGACGCAAATATACGACGCGAAATTACGAAGTATTCGGAGGCGAATTTTTACGCGCCTGACTATACAGATCAAGCGCAATGCGATTTTGCGACTTTCTGGGGGGAAAAAGACGTGTCCTGGGTGGAAGCGAGAAGACTGACACAACACCAGACTGACTGTTTTTCAGTTCTGATTAGACAGTAGTGTTGAGATGACTGTCTGTCATGATAGCATGTACTGAGTCAGGGCCAGTACCAGATAAGCACATTAAACTAATCCATAAATGTAAGGTACCAACCAAGACCTAATGGTGCTGTGACAGCAACGCGACTTGAGTTTGAGACAGTGAAAATACTTATGGTATGTTGTATCTGAACAGGTTAGCTTACAAGCTAAAGTTACTTAGCACAGATGAAAGTTAAAACAGACGTTTAGCAAACTGTTAAAGCACACAAACCATCGTTGGCCATGTTGGATATACCGGTGAATCAGACGTCGCAACAACACGCAATCTGATTGGTCAGAAGTGGACACACAGTATGCGAAACTTTAGAAAAATTGACCGTGATACAAAAATTAAATGCAGAAATATCGCAGGACGGGAAAACGTTGCTGATATGAGCGCTTGTACTGACAGGATACGGGTTCGAAAAAAATACTGAGGTCCGAAATAATCGCATGAAAAAAACGGTTCCGGTGTGAAAGGACATCGATGCTGCGTTCCAGTTACCTTGGAAGTCAGATGTCGGAGCTGAAAATGACTGAAGTGCTAAAATAACTTTCGTAGATGTAGCCATCTTGTTTCCGCCTCTGATTTTGCTCTTTTCCTACTTGGTAACTGAAACACTGAGTTTTTTGGGGGTCTTGGCATCTCTAATTATCTTTCACACACAACAGCGCCGACATTTAAAACCCACTCGACATAAAGCAATATTGACAAATAAATGTATTTTGTCAAAATTCTTATTACAATTTTCATTTCTAATTTCTGGTTACTTAAGACTAGCATAAGGGAGAGCAGCTGGCATGGAGGTGAGGACATCAGTCTTAAGGTATAAATCGACGTCAAAAAAGGCAAAAAATATTTGCCGCCGACACTTAAGTCTCACTCTTGTCATTTTCTGAAACTTGGCAGCCCTGATATGTAGCACACGTTCTTGGGTATTTAATGATGCTGAGAGATAAGACAGCAAAAAGGGCGCAATTCTCACATTTGGAGAAGCAATGACTGAAATTATTGTCAATCTAAAAAGTAAACCCCTTTGTTGTTGGTTTGACCAGTTGGGCTTGCCTATGTAAAAATGTTCTCTATATTCTAAATGTTAACATCCTGTTCTTTTGTCTCTCTGCAGGGGCTCACTCCACCTTAAACACAGAGTATGGGATGCCCTCCAGCCACTCCCAGCTTATCTGGTTCTTTGTTGTTTACTTCTTTCTTTTCCTTTATTTAAGGTAAGCTTGTTTGTTTTGTGTTGTGTGTGTTTGGGGAGGATTCAGGGTGAAAGTGTGTTGCTCTGAAAGTCTAAGTACAACTACTTGTACATACACTTGCATCCCTACCACCTAAGATAGTTTCTATGCACTATAAACTTTCTGTGACACATATAACTTTCTTTGAACTACTGCAGTCCAAGCCTTATTTTACATCATAACATGGACTACACACCTGTTTTTGTTTACGAGCCATAAGAGGGCTTAACTTCATGTGTACATGAGAAAGATGTTATGTTGTGAACTTCTTTAATCTCTATTTTTTCAGAATGCATCAAACAAACAATGCTCGATGTGTGGACCTGTTATGGAGACACATATTGTCCATCATCCTGTTGGGCATAGCCTTATCAGTCTCATACAGCAGGTAAGAGACCATAAAAAGTCCTCAGATCATTTCTTGAACCTTAAGTGAAAGCAGAAGAAGATGACTCAATTTAAGGTTGTAAAATGGTGTATTGTGTTCAATGTATTTTTATGAGATTTCTTGTTTAGATTTAAGGGTTGAGTCCATGTTATTTCTGTAATTATTATCAGGCTAAGTGTAGCTTCCCTCACAACTTTCAAACTAAACCACCTAAAACTAAAGTTGCACTATTTTCCTGTTAAACATCAGTGTCAGCTGTCATGAATATTGTTGACAGCTGTTGGCTATCTGCAGGTAAGGTGTCATGAACTGATGTCTGGTAGCTGATATTCATCGGCTGTGTTGCATCAATTAAATGCTGGTATGCCTCACTGTTGATTCTGAAATTGGAATTTTATTGGTCTTAATGAATCCCACATGAAGGCCAAAAGGTGCTTGTGCTCAAATGTGATTTGTTCATGATGAAACAAAGACAATGTCTGCAGAGTAGCAGTGACAATAAACACTGTCTGTGAGAAAGATTAGCAACATGCTGTTTGTAAGGATTGTTACAGTGACTGCTTACAGCAAATCTCGTGGGACATTTAAATACAGAAACGTAAGAATTACAATGAGGTGAAGAAAAAACACCATCATTGGCTAACTTGTGTTTAAACTGTGGCGTTGGCCTTGTTTTTAGCAACCGTGTAACCCAAAAATAAAAGGTTTAGAAACTGAGGTTCTTCGTAGCATGCAGCTGCGTTGAAGTTTTAGAGAATGTACTGGACTCCTGTTATTTCAGTGGTATTACTTGTTTATTTTTTGTTACCTTTTTTGCCCCTTAAAATGACAGAGAAAGACAACGGGGCCAGTACAGAAATGACTGACATTTTAACGAGTTAATTTTAGTTGCTTCTGATCCTTCGAAGAGCAACGTCTAGGTAACCATATGTACAAAAAGGCTTGTCCAGAGTTGTTATTCTTCCTCGTTTATCCACAATCTCAGATTTTTTGACAGAGAGGATTTGTGATTGTGATGCCTGTGAAATAACATGTTTTAGAAGTTGTGGGTTATCAGCTGTTTAATGGAAAAAGGAGAACCTCAGAACTTACAGGATATAATGCACCGTACTCTTCATTTCTGAATACCCATGCTGATGTTTCCTGCTTCATTTTGTAATGCTTATTACGTCATTACCTTTTTTTTTAAAATTGAGAAGATGTTTTGGTCAACCAAATGTCACGAATGGTTAAAAATGCCTCCCAAAAATATTCACCTTTTCATGTGATTCTAAGTCAAGAATCAAAAATATTGAATTGAAATAGCTATTTTGAACGTGTAAAAATAGAGGGGAATAAATTATGACAAAAAAAAAAGAAGAGCACAGGAACACCTAATGATTGATTTTACATATGCAGAAATACATCTTATTTAATCCCACTGCGTCTCAATACATCAAGGATAAAACATAATTTTGCTTTCATATTGATGGTCAGAGTTTTGGTCAAAGCCCTGCGCTTCTTAAGTTTATTTCAGACCAGAGCTTTGGAAATCAGAGCATTTCATTGATAATAGATTTGTCAGTACCTGTGTGCATAAAAATGTGATCATTATTTGGCTGAATTTCACTGTATTAGTCTGTATTTTGGCTGTGTTGTGAATATAAGGGGTTATTTGTGAAAGCTGGTCGAAGTGTGCTGTCCTTTATACTGAGTTTTTTTCTCCTATCCGTCTTTAGGGTGTACCTGTTGTATCACACCTGGAGCCAGGTTTTCTATGGCGGAGTGGCCGGTAGTACGATTGGCATAGTCTGGTTCTTTTTCACTCAAGAGGTGCTGACACCATTATTCCCTAAAATAGCAGCATGGTAAGTAGTGCCCTCATTTCTCTGCTTCCTCCTTTTGTCACAGGGGAAGACGGTTCCTCCTCAGCCTGAATAAATGTCTAAAAAGCGCTCTATTATGGCTGCTCTCATTATGCCTTCTTCACTTTCCTCGACTTTGATTAACAGGCCAATATCAGAGTACTTCCTGGTGCGAGACACAAGCCTGATCCCCAACATCTTATGGTTTGAGTATACAGTGACCAGATCAGAGGCAAGGTAAGCCGCTGTTTTGGATGTCCAGTATTTTAAATCACACCACATAGTGACACTGAAACTTTACAGACACACCCTGATGATTGAGGCGGTGCTAGAGGCTTGTTGACAAGCGGTATAATGTTCGATTGTAAGACGGCACACGAGGGACAATTCAAATCGATGAGATGAAAACTGAACGACCTTACAAAAAGCAGGGAGCGCTATCTGCCTTGGACTTCTCTGGTTAGATGTTATTTGGTGTCACAGATGATAGCTGCAGATGGAGGACTTTGTAGTTGAGGATGTTGCTGGTGTTAATTTTCCACAGATGGTTCCTCTTATCAGGATTACTAATCATGATTAATGTTGGTTTTAGAGACATTTTTATGTAAATCAGTGATTTTTAAAACATACTCCTGCATGTCATTTACTGACAGTTATTGACGGCTCTGCCCTGGTGTTTTTGGCTCATCCAGGCTCTAAGCACTTGTATCAAATGTAGGAGCAAGTCTTATTGGATCTTGGAGTTGGTTTTGATGAAAATACAGTTTAACACTGGACTTTTATTTGGTGTATTTTTACATTGTGGTATTAAAAAGTAAATTATCTTAACTATTTGAATCCATTTGAATCATGCTCAATATTATCGGCATTATATCAGTATTGCCATGGTAGCGGTATCAGCAGATAGTAGCTTATGGAGCTAAGGTTTTTGGTCTGGTTCTAAAACAGACTGTCACAAAAGAAGTAACAGGATAATACTATTGCAGTTTATGGATTTAGAAATAAATTGTGTTAACAGAAAATGGATTTCGATATGTTTTTAAGCCAATGAATGCAGTGATTTCCACTACAGAGTCATGTCTGTTTTTCATGCAATATCACACTAAAGGGCCAAAGATCGCAGCCATCCAGTATTGGTTTTGGGCTTTGTCCCTTTTACAGAGATTTCTCCAGATTCCATAAACATCCTAACTATTAAGGTCCTTTCACACTGGGAGTGTTTTTTTTGTGCGATTATTTCGGACGTCAATATTTTTTTTTTGTCAATACAAGCATTCACGTTTTCCCATCCTGCGATATTGCGGTATTTATTTTTTTGGATCACGGTCGATTTTTCTAAAGTTTCGCATACTGTGTGTACACTTCTGACCAATCAGATTTCGTGTTGTTGCAACATCAGATTCACCGGTAAATCCAACATGGCCAACAGGCTGATTGTTAGCGTGTCGGAGAACAGAGTGCTTTTTGATAAAAAACACAAATATTACAAAGATAACGACCCGAAGGACAACTTGTGGAGAGTCATAGCGCCAGATTTCTCATAAGACGATGGTTTGTGTACTTTAACAGTTTGCTGAACGTCATTGTTTTAACTTTCATCTGTGCTAAGTAACTTTAGCTCGTAAGCTAACCTGTTCAGATACAACATACCATATGTATTTTTACTGTCTCAAACTCAATCGCGTTGCTGTCACAGCACCATTAGGTCTCGGTTGTTACCTTCAATTATGGATTATAGTTTAATGTGCTTATCTGGTACTGACCCCGACTCAGTACATGCTATCATGACAGACAGCCATCTCAACACTAGTGTCTAATCAGAACTGAAAAACAGTCAGTCTGGTGTTGTGTCAATCTTCTCGCTTTCACTCGCTTCCATTTCGTTATTGCGCGTCGTATACTTGTGTCGGTCCCAGTGTGTAAGGACCATTATAGTGTTAATATTGTATGTTTTGGAGACACAAAAAGCTCATGGAAAGTGCCACCTTTGTCTTGTAGAAGTTAAAACACAACATTGATTTTTTTTAAAAATTCTTCGATCTTTTAAATTTGCCGTTTGTTTTTTGTTTTTCCAGGAACAGACAACGAAAGCTTGGAACAAAACTTCAGTGATCTGCACATTTCCTTTGTGAAAACTGAGTTTAGGACCACAAAAACACACAAACACACACCCCACATACTCACACACATATACACAAACACACACACTCTTGTACACAAACACAAACAAAAAGCTCACTTGACAAAAACACACTGGAGAATCATCTTCTGGACTGACGCGGTTGCGAGGAGAAAAGGGCAGAAACCGTTTACAGGTGGCGACAGAGTGCCTGGACCTGACCCGGAGCCTACAGCCTGAGCAAGTCCGTCCACACGCCTCTCCTCCTTGTACAGCTTGCCCACAATGCTCTTCAGTGCATGCAAGACTGTGCAAGAGGCATACTATTTAATGATAGATTAATATATATATTTTAACTATAAACGCACGCTGACGGTAACAGTGTACTGTACCAGATTGGAGGAGCCTGAAAGGAGGCTTTGGTCAGACAAATTGGTGGGCGTCATTGCAGCATGTATTTAGTGATTCCTTTTTTTTTAACTCTCTTCTGATGGATAGCTGGTGGGAAAGAGTGGGGAGGGGGGCGGGGTTAAGGTTAGTTTTTTTTTTTTTTTCCTTTTCAAATTTTCATTGTTATGTAATAGAAAAAGAACAATTTCGTACAAAAAATGCTTCTGTAATATAAAGGAAAATTTGCACTTTGTGAAATTTCAAAGTAAGACAGAAAAAAAGACGACTAACACTAGTTAATGTTAAGACCCTCCCCTTGTTTTCCCTCATCAGTCTTTGCTTTGTACTGTCAGTCCTAATATACTAGACTCCAAAGCTGATCTGCAAGCTGTGTAAATTTGATGTACCTAATGTACGATTGAGCATCCAGGTTGTGGTTTCTCTTCATATCCACATGTGAGGATTAAGAGACTGAATCGCAGCAGCAGGTTTTTGGTTGCTTGTCGTTGAACGCTTTGGACTGAGGGGTTTCTATTGGACACCTCATGCACAGTAGCAGCCTGGGAACAGAATTCTGGGAAACCATTTTCCTTCTTTTTATTCCGTTTCTTTTTTTTATCTTGTTTTCTGGTGTTGCAGGGAACAATTTTCCTTTTTTTAAAAAAAACCCTGCATTTCCAAAATAACATTCCATATCACTTAGTGAGAAAACACACATGATGACTATTGAGGGGAAGTGTTTCCTTTTTGTATTGTTTTAGGTGAAAGGAATAAAAAAAAAAAGCCTCAGGTCAGTCGTAGCATGCGATTATGCTTAATATCCTCACAGCCCACGGCAGCTGACGATGAAAGCTGTCAGGTGGGGATCTGAAGCTGATTTAAAACTGTCATATCATTAGCTCCACAAAGGGAAGTAGTTCTCTTAGAATTTGATTTTTTTCCATGTGTAACCTATATCAGGCTGAATAAACTGTGTTTATGTACAACACATGGCTCACGCTTTTTACCTCCACATCTCTCTCTCTCTTTAAAATTTATTTTTACACAAATGCTCCTCCTGAAACGCCTGTCTATTTCACATATGCCAGGATATACTGGTGGAGCTTATGAAAATCAAAAATCCACAATTTCAAAATTTTAGATTGTTAGGAAACATGCTGCAATGTGGCATGGTGGCAATCAGTCTGTGTCCACACTCTGGTTGTTGCTTCAGCTCATCTGGTCTCTCCTCTGCCTCTTAATGAAACTCTAGAGATCCTCTTCGGGGTTCAGATCAGGCCAGTTGGCTGAACAGTCAAGCACAGCAGTAATATCATGGTCTGCAAACCAGTTTCTAGTCATTTTGGCGCTGTGGGTAGGCGCTAAAAAAGAAAAGCTGTATCTTCATGAAACTCAGCAGATTGAAGCATGAAGGGCTCTAAAATCTCCTGGTAGACTTAAGGTGGCTCTGGTCTTCATAAAATGCAGTAAACCAACAGTAGATGACCTGGCACCCCAAATTCTCACAGATTGGAATCTTCATGCTGCACCTCAAACACTTTGGATTTTCCTCCAGACTGATTTCCAAATGAATTGTAAAATTGACCTTCATTTGGAAACAGGACTTTGGACCACTGAAAAATAGTCCAGATCTTTTTCTTCTTGGACCAGGTGAAACTCTGATGACAGTGCCCCTGGTTCAGGAGTGTCTTGACTGTAGGATCACAACACCTTTAGCCCATTTCCTGGACACATCTGTGTCAAGTGCCTCTTGATTCTCTGACTCCTTTTAAAACTAAAGTTCCTGAAATACCTGACAAGAAATTGGACTTTGCCACAATATAATGTTTCGAGATAGTGGATTTTTGATTTCCGTGAGCTGCAAACTCTAATAATCAAGATTTAAAAAAAAAAAAAAAATTATATATATATATATATATATATATATATATATATATATATATATATCTATTTTTGAATGCAACGATATTACCTTCCTAAACTTAAAAAAAAAAAAAAAATAGACTTAGCACCACAGTGGAAAAACTTACGTTTTCCGTAGCCCTCTTTGTATTATTTATCGGACTGTATTCGGGTGTAGTTTTTAGTAATTTGTTGATTATATTGATTTGATAGAAGTATATAAAAGTATGTATTAAATATGATACAAAAGGCATTTAAGGTTTAGTAAACAAATGAGTAAGGAAAATGCCAAGTAAACAGGGTAGAAATTTTCACTTCTGCCAGAGGTCCAGACATAAATGTGTACACTACAGGCCAAAAGTTTGGAAGCAAGATCAGATTTGTACAAAAAAGCACCGTTTCATATATATAATTTGCAACACAATAAACATGATTATTGTGTAAAGAGTAACTTATCAGAAGACATTTTGACTATAATTATTAGGTATTTGAGTTTTTCTTGCTTAGACTTTGCTTTCTTTAAAGTAACGTCCTCTGGCATTAACAGCAGCTTGGCATATACCAGGCATTCGTTCCACAAGTTTTTTAAGGTATTTTCCAGGGATTGCATTCCAAGCTTTCTTAAGTTCATTAAAAAGGGACTGCTGATTCGTGGGACGCATTTTTCTGACCGATCGATCCAATTCATCCCACACAAGCTCAATTGGAGAAAGGTCTGGAGACTGAGATGGCCAAACCATCTTTTGAAGAACACCTTCCTCTTCCTTTTTGTCAAGGTAACCCTGACAGAGCTTGGCAGAGTGCTTAGGGTCATTGTCTTGCTGCAAAACAAACATGAGCCACAAGTCTGAGTCCAGATGGAACAGCATGGTGCTGGAGGATGGAGTGGTACTGTTCCTTCTTCATGATACTCTTTACTTCAAACAAATCTTCTACTCCATCACCTGCAAAACATCCCCATACCATGGAACTACCACCTCCATGCTGAATTGTGGGTGTAACAGATGGTGCTTTCAGATGTTCACCTGTTTGTCTGTGGACATAGACTCTGCGTTTTGAACCAAACAGTGCAAACTTGTTTCTAGTCATCGTAAGTCCAATTTTTATGAGCTTTTGCCCACTCATATCTCTTTTTCTTGTTCTGTGGACGAAGTAGTATTTTTTTGCAGGTACACAACCCTTCAGACCAGCCTTTCTCAAACGTCATTTCACGGTTGTCAGAGATATGGGTTTCGACCTTATCATGTTGATTTCCTCCCTTGTTATTGGTGCTGTCTTTCGCCGATCTCTCTTACTGGTGACAATGCTATGTTTATCCTCTGCTTTTGTAGTAACTCTCTTTTGTCCAGGTCTTTTTCTATCATCATAACTTCAGGTTCCTCTAGTCTCTTCAGAGTGTAGTGGACTTCTTTGTTAAACACCTTTAGGTATTTTGCAATCTCTCTTTCTATGTATCCTTCTTTCCTCAATGTACAAATCTGTACTTTTGTTTCTTTACTCAGTTGCTTCTTTCTAGCCATTTTTTGCGGTAGTTTGAACGCAGTTGAGATTTATTAGGATTTTTGTATGCAGACTCTCAAAAGCCAAAAAGTTGAAGTGAATAATCCAACTGTGATTTGTTTTTTTGCTTTTGCACTAAAGTTGTGACTCTTGCAAATGTTTTCAACCCTAAAACTAAGCCCTTATTATCTTTTGCTGACATATATTTAGCAATGGTCTGTTAACATCAATGTATATCTAAAGGTAAATGGAGTAAAATGGTGCATTTCCATGAAAGCAACATCTGATCATGGAGTAAATACATCCCAAAATACATAAAACTCATGCTGGATTTTAATAAAAGCATTGTGAGCAAAAACTTAAAGTTACTCCCAAATGTTCGGCCTGTAATGGCCTTGCTTCCAAACTTTTGGCCTGTAGTGTATGTATTTGTGGAAAAAAAAAAACAGTCCTCCATTCAGTTTGCTTTATATCGCAGCATCTCTTAGCAGCCTCTCCCTCAACATTAGTGCCAAACACTGCGTGAGAAACCTCGTCCTCCCTTCATACATCTTGCAGAGCACAAAAAGGAACATGTGCCCTATTTAAACGACCCAGTCCATTTTGGATTCACTTTGCAGCACGAAACCTCAGGCTATCCCCAAACACCCGCTGGGAACAGGCACAGCCTAGATAAAAAATGAGGAAGACCTCGACCTATTTTTGTTTCTCAGAGCTATTTTCTCTGACACAGTCTGTATTGAGATAAGTACTCTGCCCAAAAATAAAGTGGTTTTAATAACAAAAGGAGATGTTTCAGAGCGTGTGGTCGTCTCTTCCCTTAAAAGGGTCGCATCTTTGCTGAGCTGAGTCTGAATGTTCACCTCTGGATACTGTCATGCTGTCTGGGTTATGGAGAGTCGTGGCTTTGTAGAGAACTTGAGGAAAATCTGAATAAAAAATTTATGGACAGATATGCTTCCTTGTCTCAGGGAAAAAAGGTTTGAGGTGCCCTTCGGATCGGGATACATAAAAACTTTAATAACTGACCCTTTCAGGGATCTGCTGGACTGTAGGGGTCATCATCTTCAGTATTTTTGGTATGGTTTGTGTCCACATACCTCCTTAATGTCCTAATCCTGACCCCAAGCTCCCAATTTTAACTCATACCATCCTTAACAAGTGACGTGACTCTCCAATCTTTATGGAAGCAGTCTCCTCCTGGATGACTCAACTCAACTCAACTCAACTTTATTTATAGAGCACTTAAAATACAACCAAAGCTGGCACAAAGTGCTGTACATAATAACATAAAAAACATAAAACAACAATAAATAGTTGTTTCAAAATATAATAAAAAGCAATAGAAAAAAGCAATAAAACAAATGCCATCTCATGCTGGGTCAAAAGCCAAGGAATAAAAGTTGGTTTTTAGACGGGTTTTAAAAATGGACGATGCCTGCATCTAAAGGGAAACAAGGCTCTCCTTGGTTTCTTGGGTTTCAGATTCCTGTTCATTATGCCCTACATGTAGTCATGAGAAATCAACCAGGTGGGTCACCAATGGGAAGATTAAGACCAAGATTCATTACGGTACTGCTCCCCACAGCCACTAAAACTGCAGATAACACCTCAAAATTTAAATTAAAACTATTAAAATTTACTGCTGAGAGAATTTGGATTCTGAATAACAGAAGATCCAGTGACAATGATTTCTTAAAAGTACATACAGATTAATTAAATTATTTTCTGGACTTTTCCAATCTCATCACCTTGCAAGGCCAAACCAGAAAGTTGTGCTCTATTGCAGTGTTTTCAGGAGCAGGACCAAACCTCGACTGCGCCTCTTCCAGCACTCCCATGAATTCAAACCTTCTTCTTGCAGGGAGATATTTACAATATACCTCCTTCTCTCAGTGGCCCCTGAAGCAATAAAGATCTGTTTTAACACTATATTACAGTACAGGTTTATATCAGCTGCCTGCTGGTTTACAGTATGTAACATTCAGTCTGAGATTACAAAGGAAAAAGGGATCAAATGAGATGTACACCTTATAAAAAACATAATTTTTAGAAACTACAGGGACTCTTCTTTTTTCAGTGGTTAAAGCACCTGCAGAATCAATCACAGCCATTTGGTGTTGGATTTTTCTTTAATGTATATAGACCGACACTTTGTGGAAATATTGCACAACTTAACCTGCTCAAATCTAAAAAAAAAGAAAAAAAAAAAAAAAGAAAAACAGAAGCACTGACATCCACTGGGTGAATCTTGTTACTGCATTTTGTGTACTATGTGGTGGCATAGTTGAATAAAGATAAAAGTAGATACATTTGACTCTGATTCAAGCTGAGCCTTTGTGTGCATACCTCTTCCAGTTTAGTTGCAGAAATACATATTATTAATCTCATTTCATCTCAGAGGCTTTTCTGTCATTTTGAAAGAGGAGTGCACATCATATAAAATATCTAAAGAGGATAAATGTAAATCAGCAAACAACTTGTAATAATTGCAGCCATAGTTGTATTTACTGTACATGTAAATGAACAAATTCAATATCCCTATTGTTCTGCACATTTCCTCCTCTGCTCTGCTAATCAGAATCAGATTTATTGGCCAAGTGTGCAC